TATATTTTTTATATATATACATATATAAAAAATTTAAAAAAAAAACTGTACTGTTTTCAATTTAATACAGTTCAAACTGAATTTACTAATCACTGCTTTCTGTTTTTACTGGCATTTCACAGACTGTGCCAACTTTTTTGGACCTGTTTTTGAACATGCCTCTTTGCAGAAATATAAATCAAGCCCATACAAAGCCCCTAAGTGCACAAACTCTGATCAGCGCCTCTGCTGTGGACAAGCCCAGGTGTGTGTGTGTGGGAATGTGCGTTTACGTGTGCATGTGTGTGTGCACTAGTGCGCTTCTTCCTGCAGACGTGACACCACAAGTTAGGTGTGAGCTGACACACAGACCACAGCGGCTGAGAGAGAGGGAGGTGTGAAGAGGAGGTGATGATTTTAGCCTCATCAGTTCACTCTGCTGGTGGGAAAAAAAGCACAAACTGCCCTTCAGCACCATTCAATCACATCAGCAGGGGTGCAAATCTCTGACCATTCTACATGATTATGACTCTTTAGGAAATGATTCAATGCATCAAGAAATCTCAAATTTCACCACAATTCAGTTCAATTATGATTTGTAAGGAAACAATTTGATGCGTGATTGAATCTCAGATTTCACTGTGATTTGATTCAAGTTATGATTCTAAAGAAAACAATTCAATACATTATTAAATCTAAAATTTCACCACGATTCAATTCAGTCACGATTCAATATAGTATAAATCTCAAATTTTACCACGATACAATTCAGATGCGATTGACTAGGAAATGATTCAATACATTATTAAATTTCAAATTTTACTAGTTCAAGTCTATTACGATTTTATAGGAAACTATTTAATGCATCATTAATCAAATTCAACACAAATTCATAACGATTCTTTTGGAGATAATTCAGTGCATCATTAAATCTCAAATTTCACCAAAATTCCATTCAATTGTAATTCATCAGCAAACGTTTCAATGTATCAAGAAATCTCTGTTTTCTAATTATTCAAAACACAATTTTGGGAGCCTGCTCTTTTTCGTGGTGTCTGAAAACATAGTAGAGTATATCCAGGGCACTCTTACAATCCCACAAAGCACTGCAACAGGTCCTGTACAAAATGATACGCTAGCCGCCACAGAATACTCATAATGCTCTGTTGTAATGCTGAGTGATTAGCAACCCCATGCACTGTTCGTGTATGATATTGTTTATTTTAATCGCAAATTATTTCCCTGTAACAGTGGTCTATATAGTGATATTCTAATATTTAATGGGCCATATCATGGAAAACCAAATTTTCTTTGTATTTTGAAATAAGAGTCTGATGTTGTATGTAAACATTGTTAAAGTTGTAACATAAACCATTATCTTCCCACTCCATGAAGTCGATATGTGGTAACTAAGTTGCAAAAACAGTGCGTTTGGAATTCATGTTTGTGATGTCACGAAAAGCAACACATTTACATATTTGCCCATTCAGTCTACAGCAGTTTAGAGGTCATTTACATAGATCAGTTTTGAAGGTACAGCAAGAAAAATCAGCTGTTTAATTCTATGAGATATACAGGGGCAGGAAATGGGTCATGTTACTGTTTCTGGTACATAAATATGGGCCGTTTAAATGTGTTCCAACACAAATAATGATTAAGAGGATATATGCACATAAATTTTCACCACAGTTTGATTACATTTATTTTGGAAATGAGTCAATACATCAATAAAATTGCTTGTTTTTAGTATCACCTAATTATTTTTTTAAAAACAAAATGAATACCCAAATGCGACTAATCACATAGTAATCAGATACAGACAAGAAAAACAAGACACTGATCCATTTTAGGGGGATTTTTATGTTTGAACACAGCCTGAGAATTTTATTTTGATCAAGAATTAAGCCATACTTCATTGCATATTATTATAAATCAATAAAATATTCCAAAATCACCACCTCAAGATAGATTTTTTGACCTGTACACATCGGGGTTGGGTTGATTGATGCAGAACGGCAGGAAACCTTGCCCTTCAGCTGAACTGGGAGGTGAGAAAATAAGAAACCAGTGCAGTTTCGCACTTGATCTGTTCTTAAACCGCCCCCCCCTTTTCTCTCTCTCTCTCTCTTCACCCAACTACTTCTCCAACACGCACAGATCCATTTACGCTCGAGCCGACTCTCACTTACTCATTCCCACTCAAACGCACTCATAATCACTTTCCCACACAAGTACATGCAGACACACACATATCTGTGCACGTCGGGCGCAGACAGCCTGTCAGTCATTATGTCAGAGTGGCCCCAGTAACACTACTCAAAGCCACACACGTACACGCACACACAGTGGGAAATATTTGGAATGGTTTCCCTCGGAATGTCTTGGCATGTTTGAGGAATGTCTCTCTGCTCCCTTCTCCTGCCCCTCTTCCCTCTGACTGTTTTCTCTCATAAACTCACCCCCGCTCTCCTTTCCCTCTCTTTCCCGCTTCATAGATTGGGGTGTTGAGGCCACAGAGGCTCAGAGAAGCCTGGCGTTAGTTTCACATTTTGAGAAAGATTTTGTGCTTCTCATAGAGCCCTGCTTAACGGTTAGATCACATCAAGCAAAAAGGGGAAAATATATAAAAGGGAAGTATGACAAAGAAAAAAGGAACTAAACTGTTATTGATATGCTGAGAGAAGCATGCAGGCTCACACACAGACATGCACAGGAGCTGCACAATATATCATTTATGAATTGCTGTCGCACCACAGGCCAATACTGATATTGCAGAGGGCTCCACTGTAGAGTGAAATGGTTCCCACAGCCATATCATACCATTCAGGTCCAAAACTCGTGAGACTGGTTCCAGTTTCTTTTTCCATCTAATGTGCTGCTAATTCAGGACTAGGAAATACCTCAGAAAAAAACTACAAAGAACACTGGCTCAGCAACAGGCTAACAGCTCATTTGTTGAGCGGCGGTCACCTCAACACTCACCTCAACAAATTTTTAAATATGAATTTTTATCTTCTAAAAGTGTGTAATTTGAGCAGCATTAAGCTGAAACCTAGCCTGGACGCTGGTGTGTTGCCTGCTAACAACACTAACACTAGTTTAGCTAGTATGACAGCTCCATACACCACAGAGGTTTGATTTTGGTTATCTGTCAGTCCAACACTCAACTTTACACACTCAGATATGACTCTTTATCCTCTAAACGTGTTTTGTTTACTTCAGCCACTTCAGTACCAGACAATTTCACATCCTCAGATTTAAGTCATTATCACCTAAACATGGTGAGCAGAGCTGTTAGCATGCTAGCCAACCTTCTAACTCCTAGTTAGCAGCATTTGGCCTTAGATTAATGGCTTTACATTTACTGTATGATGGGCTGAAAATCACGTACTGCTTTTATTTATCTAGCAAACGTGTAAGCAAACTGAACTTTTTATTAGCTTTCAATTTTGAAATACTGTAGAATGAGGTGGGCCAAAAGCAGCACACACATCGAACCAATTGGTGAATAACTTCGTCATTAAACCATCAACCCCAAACAGTTCTGGGGCCATGAGGAGTGCGCTGTTTGTAAGCCCTCCATGCCAAACCATGTCTGTGTGAGAATGCAGTTGGAACGGTTACTGTCCGTGCTCAAATGTTTGGCCCTACAGTGGAAAAGAGGCTATACTGCACTACACTAAATCCAATTAAACAGGACTATTTATGCTCTCTTTTATGAAACATGCAGTTGTTCAATGTTCAAGTCCTGACAATATTAACAATATTATCGGAAAAGCATATTGTGGTATAATTTATCACGATAATAAAATATTGTCATATCGCCCACTCCTACTTTTTCCAATCACGGTTAAATTTTCTGTTTGTGTGGGTGTTTTGATGAATCCGGGCATTCGAGTGTTCAAACAAACTAAATTTTGGTGACTACAACGCAGGTCAGTCTTAGAAATGTGATGCAAAGTTTGTGTTCAGTGTGTTTTAATTGAAAGGTATATCACAATCATACGGTGTAGAAATATGAAGGCCATATGGTATTTTGTCTCACCCAGACACACACAAAAGCACACACACCCCAGTGTAAGATGCCACTGAAGTGGAACCTCAGTGTTGCCCCTGTCTTTTCACATTCTGCCCGTGTTCTCAGCCTGCTGCTTCTTTTGTAGATCAAAGCTTCGACCAAAATCCTTCTTTTAAAAACACACTTGCGCTCTCTTTCTCTTCCCCTCTCACTCCATCTTCTCACGCTGTTTCAGTTCCTGTCCACCCCCCCAACAGAGATCGTGGGAACCCCAGTGCCACCAAGCTGTCTGAGGCGGTGGCCATGGCTATCTGTCCCATCTCCACACTTCTAAAAACAGACGGCAGACATCTAATGCTGGACGAGGAAGTCAGCGTCTATGAGCGCCGAGTGTCCAAAGGCACATGAAACGCCAACGCTGAGAAATCACACGCCATCTGCAGAGCAAGACTCAAACCCTAGTACAGAAAAAAAAAAACCTCAATGCTGAAATCGGAGAAATGGCATGAGCTGGGGAGTCATAATGAGTCGAACTGTCTGAATCAATGTCACGCACACGCATTGGTCAGGGAAATGCATGATGTCAGTGTACTAAAATGACACGCTGAATTAGGACATACAGAATTACTGCATCCAAATAGTGACTAATTATGTGCTACTATAGAGGGCAAGTGCAGGTTTGTCTCATTGGTGGCAACTATGGATGGGAATATATCTGTGACCACACCGAAATTATTGTGGTTTAAAGGTCTTTAAAAACAACTGGTTTCAGTTTTCCTTCTGCAATTGGGTGATTAAACCGTTGTGAATACATTCGAGGTCCTGAGTTGTACTGCAGGTTTCTGTGCCAAAGAATGTGCCGCATCCTGTGGCAATTAGAGATATTGATAGCATATCTGTATCGGTGGTTGGGCTGCACAATATAGGCTTAAAATATGATGTTTGATGAAGTTGTTGGATATCACAATGACAACATTAGAAATGATTAGAAAATCTAACTAACCTCTCCTTTAAGCAAACAGTCAGGCTGACAGTCAGCATTCCCTGAACAGCCCTATAAAGGAAACAAAAAAGAATATATACATATTTAATTTCTAAAAAGCTCTTTATGGTGATGCAGGTTTGTTGTGACAGTAGTCATTACTCCTTCTAAGGTTAGATTCCCACCAATCCCGTTTCGTCACTCTACTGATGAGTGTGAGGTAATTTGATCCATTCTGCCATCACAGTCCTTAAACGTGTTTACTGTGGAAACTCATATCACAATAACAATACAAACATGGTTTATCATGCAGCCCAATTCAATCAGTGATGGGCCGAGATCAGTAAAAAATGCCCAAACAGATATCAGAGGGTTAAAAAAAGTATGATCCAATCCTGTAACAAAACTATTTTAAAATAATTAACATTTATTTAATCCTCTGATATCTGCTCATATGGTGTGATTTCCTGTGGGGTAGTAGAATGAGTAGCTTGAGCAGCAAGATACCTACTTTCGGAAGCCTGACTTAAGTGGAAGTGCTTACTGCTTGAAAGCTCAGTAGTATTTAGAGAAGAAATATCCGATCTGTATCAGTATCAGCTGTGCTGAAGAATTCAATATTAGTATGGGAAAAAAGTGGTTTCATGCCATCTGTAGAGGCAATAAAAGAATCTATGCATCCATCTAAAAAATGTATCTGAAAACAAAGTCCTAAATGCTATTTGAAAAGACAGCCATGAATGCTGCTGATCCTATTAAAGCAACATCAACATCAGGCTCTCTGTGTGCACACACTTCTAACAAAGAAACTGAGAGAGGGCCTTTGTGTCCTTCACAAGCTGAGCAGATTGGAAGCGTCAGGAGTGGTGAGCAAAGGTTGATCTTAAAAGATTCATTTTCCACAAGCATGTTAAAACCGCCCATTAAAATCTCTTTCATCTGGGCAGGTTCTGAGATGCAGCTAAATTCCTGTCTTGCAAAAAAGTGACGATTTTAACCGAGAGTCAAAGCCACTGTCATTGAAACTGTCTCAGTTTACAACAGTTTTATTACATAATAGCCTGGGGCCGATAACTGATATTATCGAATATTGTGAGAAATTAAGTAAGTGCCAGTATTATGCAAATTATCGTTCTTTCATCATCTTTTCATCTTTTGCTTTTTTTTTTTATTGCTTTGTCTTTATTTAACCACTCCCTAAATGTATAACACTGTATACAAAAGACTGTTTAATTATAGGCTATACAAACACAACATTACCAACTAATTAAATACAATTAACACTTAGACTTTAACAGAGACTGTAACAGTTTTTCAGTCTGGCAAAGAATGCTGGGGTACAAATGAAACAAAAATTCTCCAGCAGAAATTAAAATGGTCGAGCTTGTCCAGAAGAATATGGCACTTCATAACCAGATCACAGTTATACTGTTCATCACGCTAATTCTGCAGACAATAACCACTTGTCTAAACTGACACCATCCAAGCTTAATAGACAACAGGGATGTCCACATACTGAAAGCAGTAGAGAGTTGAGAGAGAAAGCGTGAGAAATAGGGAGAGATGGACAGACAGAGAGACGCAGGGATTACGGTGGGGCCGGCGCTGGAGGGGTTAATGATTGGTGATGGGTATCAATGGGCCACACAGGGGGTTTGGGCTTTAGAGTTTAGAGTGAGTGAAGGAATGCCTCTCTCAGCCTGCCTGGGACAGTCACAGGAAAGACAACCAGCCACTGGTCATCAAAGCACTACAATCAGATAACAAAGGGGTTAACTTCGCCTGGGTGGGCTTTCCACATACCAGCCTTGGGGTGCACCTCCGAAAACCCCCACCCCCCTCCAAATGCCTCCATTCAACTCCTCCAAGGTCTTTTCTCTTTTTTGCCCCCCTCTATCTTTCCCACTACACATTCTTTCGCTCACCTTCCCGTACCGGTCCGTCCATCACAGACCAGCAAAGCGATTTTTCTCTTGTGGATATGGACCATTAAAGGGAAAAACAAAAGCCCCACTGTTTCATATATGCGCACATTTGGTTTGGGTGTGCTGCACAAATGCACAAACAGCAATACAGTAGGTCCCAAATGTGGTGGATGAGAGGCCTGTCAGCCAAATGGTGGAAGAAAAAGGCCACCCGCTCAGGAGGAGTAGGTGGTCACAGATTTGACATATGGGACATATGGGCTAGGACTGCACAGTTGTTTTTCAGTTTTTGACATAATTTGAAAATACCTGTTGCTCTTTACATTGTGTGTCATGAAGAATGGACCAAAAGAAAAGGCCCAAAATGACTTGTAAAAAAGTCTGGTTCAAAGCCTACTTTACTTTTACTGCTTACAATAAAAGTAAAGTAGGTTTTTTTCCTTCTCCTGTAAAGTTACCATTTTGGAGATATGAGGTTTTCTTCTGACAGCGATATAGATTTGACTTTGTGATAGCAACACAATAAGACACAAATGACATAAATAGCTGTGCAAAAGGCTTAGGCACCTGAGAAAAAATACATTTAAAAAGCTATTTATCTGGGCAGTTAGGGCTTATTTGCTCAGACAACGCCAATATCACAAAAAATACAAATATAATTAATATAATTAGCAGTGATTTTCTTAATCTCTATTTGTTTGTTTAACCATTTCCAAACCTCGCCTCAAGAAAGCTGAATTTTATTTGTAGTCACCCAACACCTGGTTTGGCTAATCAATTGTTCATTAAATTAAAGGTGCACTGTTATAAATCTTTGCGATGCCTGGGGTATTAAGGAGAAATTTGGAAACAAACTTTGTTCTAACTAGCTCATGGGATATCACATAAAAAATGTAGTCTTTTTAGGTTTATTTGTATTTATTCTCATGTTATATAGTGTTTTTACTGGCAAAACCTCACTTACTGCTAAGATTATTGGTGACTGTCCAACAATTGCAAAACATAAATAAACAAATGTCCCACACACTGTCTAAAATGGTGGTTCTCAACTGGTGGGTCACGACCCAACAATGGGCCACACACAGATACAGAGGGCTACGGGTGTGTCACTCCTTTGTCTTGGAAATAATTTTGTACATAGGCATGAACTTCACTATTTGCAACTGGCATAGAAATAAATTTCGTTTGCAGTTAAGCATGAGCCTTTAGATTATACTGTCTATCATCATGAAAAATGCATACTGAGGTACAAACCGTTGATTGCAGTGTAAATTAGAGCTTTTTTTTTACAAACTTTTACAAACTCCTTTTTAGTGGCTTAATGATAAAGGACAAATGTAGTTCCTGAGGTAAGACCACTTAAGGATCACTAGACTAAATCAGCCAGTTATCTACCTCTGTACAGCTGAAAAGTGGTAAAGTAGGCTAAGCTTGCACATTTACAGAAATTAATGTGCATTGTCATGTTAATCTAAACAGAGTACACAGTAAATGATGACTGAATCAAGAGGACTGACTGCAGTTTGAATGAGAAGACAACTGTCCACTGAAAAGACAGAAAGATATAGTTGTTTACATTCATTACATTCATATTTAAAAGTCTCATATGAATGTATTTGCACTGACATTTGTTTTCCCTTCTCCAACTTCCTACGGCCCATTTCGCGACCCTACTGTTTGTCTGTGCGTCACGCCCGACTCTGATCAGACAGACTGTCTGCAACGGAAAAACACAAGAAGGATCTCTGCTCTGATGAAAAGCAGATATGCTACAGTAGTGATGAATCAGCGAATTATCTACCATCATCTCTTTTTTTCAACTCCGACACTCTGTCTATCCCTCAGTCTCTATCGCTCTCTGCATCTCCACCTGTCAGCTTTGAAGATGCTTGACACAGGCCTCTCCAGTCTTTTCCCCACTGCTCTCTAAATAACCCCTCTTAGTTATCTGCTGGACTCTGTCATTAGCCTGTTTAGCTCAGTCAAAATGACACTTTCTCCCTCTTTTCATCTCTCAGCAACTTCTCTCTCACTAGCCTGCATCATCTAAATCTTTCTTGCAGTTTAGTCTGGAGGTCACTTAACACATTTCAACACAAAACAGTCTGCATTTAGTTTACTAACCATATTCTTCACACCTCATTCTACGGCAGGAGTCCCTAAACTTTTGCAATTTTTGGCCCACACAACAGACCACATGGGCTTTCATGGCCCACAAGATGATTTATCTGGCCCAATCATTTCAAATCCGAGGAAATATAACACAATAAGCAACACAGCCTATCAAATTTCACTGGTTTGGATAACATAATAAATATATGCAACATATTAAACACAAATAAGTTCTAAATTCTTTTGTTTGTGGCCATTTACCTATGATTAATGAATTCCATTCTAGTAAAAAGAGAAACCTGCACTGAAAAAACAAACATATCTAGTTATATTGCCTAATCACTGAGCTGGATCTAAATCCAAATAAATTATCACAACAATAATATTCAATCTGTTAGTATGTAGCAGAAACTGTTGGTGGTGAAGTCAAAGAGAAACAAAGAAAAAGAAATAAGAAATAAGAAAAGTGCTAAATGAAGGAAAACTGAGGCAAACTTTCAAGAAACTGGAAGAAATATAGGCTAATTACAGGCTTTTTTAAACAGAAGGCTAAATGTCCAACGTGTTAGGAAATATCTCAGCCTAAGTATCTTTGCGGTCGCTACTGAATGCAAAAAGGGCAGCTGGTTTATGTCGTTGCTTTTCCAGCATAATAAAATGCTTTAGGCTGTTCCAAAACTTCAGTAGGAGTTCCCAAACTTTTTGGGCAGTAAGTGCTACTGTGTTCCAAACCCCCTCCCCAGTGGTCTTTACTTTCACTTAGTGCACAAGGACCCGGTCTTACCAGAGCCTCTTCCATTTGCTAGTCTTCTCCATAGCTATCGCTGACCTGCACATGAAGACACGGTCTGGTTCTATGACATCACAGGTAACTCATTAAGTGGGCGCAGTATGGTCATACGTTGTGACTGACGGCCACATATTTCATTTTAATAACGTTTAATACAATCCACCATATTTAAACAAGAACCATGCTGAAACATGCCTGAAGCAGATTTAATAAACTGATTACATTAAAACTTAGTAGAAATAGAACTTCTAAGATTTTTGGCTCCCCCAGGGGGCAGCGCCTCCCAGTTTGAGAACTGCTGCTCTATAGGCCCAAATTCCACATAATATTCTGTACTGTTCATCTACATTTGGTTGATTTATGAACAAAAACGTGCTGCAAGTACTGTCTATTAGATTAGTATTCCCCCACATGTATCACTTATTTGATTATTACCATTTTTTCATTTTTCTACCTTCTTTCTTCCCAGTGTTAGTCTTTTCTGACCTGCTATCTAAAGATACGGCATTGCTTAATAGTTACCAACCTGGGAGGGTGAGGACAAACACGTGCTTCCTCCAAGAAACATGACGCCAGCCTGCAACTTTTTCAAGCCTGACCATGCTTGGAAAAGACGGCTATCAGCTCAATTCTGTACATGTGACAAACCAAAAACTGGCCGCTGACCACTGGCAGAACAGAATCAACAGGAAAAGAGAAACTAAACCATCAGCAGTGTAAGCATTTGACCTCACAAAAACGGGAAACTTCTCGCATTATAAAATCTCAAATTTATCCACAATTTTGTTCTATTATTTTGGTACAAATCAGAAGTATTTTTAACAAAACACTGAATGCAAAAATGCAACTATATACTATATATACACACACACAATATAGGTTTTTACATTTAAATTTTTTTATATTTTTAAAATTTTTAAAATTGTAATAATTTTTATTTGGGGTTATGTTGGCCAAAAAATGAGCACATACTTCACTGAATGCTATTACTGATTACAATCAATGCTTAAATCCTTGCAGTTGAACCGTCACTTTTAAATCTATGCATTTCTATAGTAATAGCAGGGCCAACGGCACTCTGTTGGATATCTTTGGCATCGTTAGGATTCAAACTGGGCTGCCTTTCTCTCTTTCTCTTTTTGTCTCAGAGTGAGATTCCTCATCTCCTCCTCCTTTGTTTACGGCATACAGTTGAAAAAAAAGCCGCCATTGTTCCAGTGAATACCTCGGTGGCACTTCAAACGAATGATTCACAGGAGACGGGTCTCCAGAGTACTGCTCTATCTCCCTCGCTTCCTTCCTGCTGACGGCCTCTGTGTTCCCCCCACGCTGATAAAACCCAACATCAACTCATAGCACAAGCATTCATGATGTTTTGTTTTTTGTTTCTGGTCATCGAACTTGACTTGATAAAATGTTTTTTTCTCTTTTTTTTTCTGAAAGAGGAAGAGGAATCGTGTCTGGGTGATAACAGCATTGCAGAAAAGCACACACACACACATACACACACACACACACACACACACACACACACACAAACACACACACTGACCTGGCATCGGCTGAATATGTCAGAAGGAGTGAGGTGGACGTGAAAATGCTTGAGCACGTGCACAGCCTGGTCCCGAGCTTTCTCCGAGCAGTCAAGAGTCAGACAGCGTCCCTCTGCGACCTGCGACCTCAGCTACACAACATAGCACAAAACACAAACCCACATTAGAGGTGGCACAATAACATCTTTTCTTTTCCGATACTGATATTGGAATCTTGAGTATTGGCGATACTGCTATAGATCCAATAAATTTTCTGGTGACACTTTATTTTGAGTGGTCCTGTTTAGATTAAATAAACACTCAACAATTAAATAAACTCTCAGTAACATGTCAAAAACATGTGAGGGTTAGGATTAGGTTTTGGGTTGAGGTTAAGGTTAGGTTTAGGATTAGGGCCAGGGTGAGGGTTTAATTTTGGGGTAGGTTTTGGGTGTAATGGAAGTAAAATATTAACAGTACATCTACTTAATGCAAGTAATGTGTTAAAAAAACATCTACAAGATATTTACTTCAATGTATTCAGATGCTGCACTACTGCTACTTCACTGATATGTTGGTGATGCGCTACTGATAATCTGTTACGAGTTTATTAATCATCTACAAAGGACCACTCCAAATAAAGTGTTACCAGTTTTCTTTAGGTCTCCTTTATGTGTATAGCACACGTAAAAGGCAACAAGTGTTGGCCTCTACACTGTACAACAAAACAAATCTTTAAATCTTACCACACATTAAAATGAGCGTTTTTTTATACCGAAGCACTTCACTTAAAAGGGAATTTCCACTATTTTTCCCCCATAATTAAATAGAAAATATGTAAATAACAACATTCTGAATGGTTTGATGTGAAAAGCTCTGTTCTAGAGAAACTTACTGAATCAGAATTGTTCACAGTGGTGGTGATAGGAACCGGACGTCTGAAGAGTTTAAAGCCTCTAAAAGTGAGTACGAACACATTACAGGTTTTTGTTTTGACAAAAAACATAGTTTGAAAATACATTCATGTTGGAGAGATATATGAAGGGTTCTTTTTCCAGATTTCCCACTATTTTTCCATCATCAATATTACACACAAACACTCTGAGGACACATGTAGGTTCAGTGGTGATTTTGGACAATAAATAAGACGCCAATATTTGTGTTGTAGACACTGTGATCCCTGATTCCTATCACTACCACTATAAAAAAATCTGAGCTGGCAAGTCTGTCTATATTAAACCATTTCACATCAAACCACAGTGAATGACTTTGTTAGCATCTTGACCTCTGAATTATGCACATTTTGAAAAATGTATGGAATTTCCCTTTAAGGTGATCATCTAAAAATAGTCTATCATTCTCAAACCACTCAAACGCACAGCTAACAACATAATCTCAGCGTGATTATTAGTCTGTTATCCAGTGCAGCATTTTCTGCTGAAATCGGCCAGATACTGATACACATCAATACAGAGATGCCATCTCTAACCCACATACTATGAAAACACAAGACTTTAACATGTTAAATAATCTGTAAAGCAGTTTCAAATTGCTGCAAAAATCAAATTTGTACATACACTGTGTTAAATTTGATGATGAATGGGCCAATAGAAATTGTCCAAAATTACTTAAAAACAAATTACATTAACATACTATATCACTGAGCACATTTCATTTCTTCTCTTACAAAGTATATGTACATTTGGGAGATGTTAATTTACCACATTCACAATACTGTTCTTTTCCCACAGTACTGTGCAGAAGTCAGCCACCCTTCACTTAATTTCGAAATGGCCATTAAGTATTTACTGTATCCACTCTACCTTTATTAGAGCTTCCATTCTGGAGACTTGCTTTCAGTTTTTCAAAGAAATCTGTAGGGATGTTTTTCCACACCTCCAAAGTTCAGTCTTAGAAGTTGGTTGAATTTTCTGCTTCTCACCATCCAAATAACCCCAAACGTCTTCAGTGATGTTGAGGTCTGGGCTCTGAGGTGGTCAGTCTATTGTTCCGAAAACAACAGCAGAACACCACCATTCTTTGCTTGATTTACAAATTCTCTACCTTTTCTCTGTAATGACTTCTTGACAGCTACACATCCTTTCAGACTCATAGCGCTGAGTTGTCTTCTCTCAGTGGAAGGATGGACAGAAACACCTGTGGATTTTTTCAGATCTGAAGCAGCTTGATTTTCTCCTCTCTCTCAAAGATGAAAGCTTTAAGTGCTGTTTATCTGATGGAGACAGTTTTGGTTGTGAGAAGTTAAATTTTCTCTGTATCTCCAGCTGTAGAGATTTTTTTCACTTATTTCCACTTGTGTATGTGTATTATCTTCTATCTAATCACCTCAGAAATAACTCCTGAAAAATTAATGACATGATTGTACTTAATTGCCGTTTCGACTTGAAATGATACAAAGGGCGGTCTTTGACTTTTGCACAGTAGAGTATTTAATATAAATGACACGCTGAATCATTCAGTCCCCTTAAAAAACAAAATGCACATTCATTCAACCAAATGTGTAACTAGACACCCACACAGAGAACATGCACATACTTACACTTTGGTATGGCTGTCCAGAGGTGAGGATTATACGACTTTCTGCCCGCGCTAACTGTTAATAAGAGAGAGAGAGAGAGAGAGAGAGAGAGAGAGAGAGAGAGAGAGAGAGAGAGAGAGAGAGAGGGGGTGAGCGTGTACGGAAGCCACATTGTCTGGATAAGAGAAAGGTTTATTTACGTGCCTCAGTCCATGTCTTTGCTACTCCTACATACATTATCCATGACTGTAGTTTTCAGCTTGCAGCCACAATACACTAAAAACACCTTGCACAATGTACATGTTTCAACATGTGTAATTACAGTACGTGTGTTTTCTTTAAACTTAAACCACATATGCATGTGTGTGTGTGTGTGTGTGTTACCTCCGCTGCTACTTTGTGGTCATCAGTGTTCTCTAGCATCAGTACGTCCACACCCAGGCAGCGCAGGAACCTCCCCAGGCCCTGTAGCATGTTGTCACACACCACCCGGAGCTCGTGTGGTGCGATAGCGGTGGCCTGCCGTTCACCGTTGCCTCTCACGCACTCCTGAAGATCACCTGCAGGGCCATGCGAACTCTGACGAGCCTGTCAGTGAGACAAACTCCAAAATCAGCCTTTTTACATGTCGGTACTCTTTTGTAAGAGTGTATAAACAAACTCCAGTCATGGAGGGTCAAAGCACTGCAGTTTAGCATATTCCAGGGGTGTAATCTCAGACTTCACAACGATTCAATTTAATTACAATCAGGCCCAACGTCAGGGGTTCATTTAGTGGGCAATACAGCACCAGCTTGTCACCATGTTCCTATAGACCTACTATTCTGTACTTGTCTCTACAGTGGCGAGTGGTAAAAAACATCCGAAGTGAAACTAAACTTTGCATATGCCAATTAACACAGGAGGATTAGTTTCACTTTGTACAACAGACCCCAAAATGCAGCCAGTGCATTGTGTGAAGATATATTACACGCTTTTTCTCCCTTTAATGTTTAGCTCCTTTGGACAGATCTACAGTACATTTCTCTGGATCTGGAACATGATTGCATTTTTTGGTCAATTCCCACCCACTAGGTCTCCCCAAGTGCTACTAAGCTGGAAGGGTGAAGACTAGCACATGCCTTCTCCAAGACACGTAAATGCAGCCACATCTATGGATAGCTAGTTGTCATTTGACACCTTAATGTGCTTGTACTAGAATGCTAGCTACTCTGTTACACCTAAGTTGGCTAGCATCACAGAGACAGACAGAAGAGAAGGACGATCACCGACCCATTTATGCTGTCTTGGACTCTAGACCACGGAGGTCTGTGGCATCAGTGGGGATCCCCTGATGATAGGGCCAATGCTTAGATGGTTGCACCACTCAGGAGCCCTGATTTTGATTTCATTTGATTATTTTGGTCACAATCTTTTAATCACAGCATAAAATACGCAAATGTAACTGGAGGCCCTATTTAGATAGTAGTAGAATACAGATAATATAAAACAACCCTACAAGTTTTTATAGCATTTATTTTTACATTCGGAAACAACTTAAACACTTTTTTAGAGGGCTTACTTCATTTAACCCTTTGTTGCACAACATGGGTCAAAAGTGACCAGACTGAGTTTTTGTTTTCTATATCTTTGCAATAAGTTAATTTCATCATTCAGGATTCCATGAATTCCAGTTAACTTGTTCTTTACTATCAAATCCTTTTTTTTTAACTTACTTTTTTTCCATCACTACCCTTCTAATGGAAAAAATTAAAAAGTAACCCATATTCATTTCCTATGTTAATTCATGCATAGCTGAGTGTTTCTTTGCTATATCTTCTTAAATCAATTTATTTCCTCATTTAAGTTCAGTACAGTTCACTACTGCTACACTACAGTTCAATATCTGTGACTGTGACAAACACTTAAATGAATTTTAAATGATTTTTTTTTTTCCATTTATTAAATGAATTATTGTTTGGCTAAAACACTGCTAAAATAATTATTTTCACAAAATTAATATTATAATATATATATTTTAATCACACTTGCATACATGGGTTATTTTTGACCCAATTGTGTAAACTTGAAGTAGTAATACAAAAATAATTTTTGTTCATAAAGTAAAAAAAGAAGAATGAAAACAATGATTTGTAGTAACCAGAAACAAGATATTTAATGAACCCTTGGCATATTGAATGAGGAAATAAATTGATATAGCAAAGAAAAACTCAGAAAAGCATGAAATAACACAGGAAACGAATATGGGTCATTTTTGACCCATGTTGTGCAATAGAAGGGGTTTGCATAGCTTGTGCATCAAAGGGTTAATACTGTTATTATTGATTCTAACACTGTAAAATTAATGCAGTTGAAAGCATTATTACCCTTCTAGCAAATTACCTGCTCCAACATGCATCATAAATTTATTATCAAGTATGCTGAAGCAGAGAAAACACTGAACAGAGGAGCAAAGTGAAATTTGAGATCCCAGCTGTGAAGCACCTGATCCACTACAGTATTACAGTATAAGCCTGAAATGAAATTAGCCTTCCAATGAAAGTGAAATTTTATGTGACTGAACCTCTCCTTCTACATTTCTTCTGATTTAATACCCTTCTAAGCAGTGTTACTTGAATCCTGTAAACAGCATTGCTTCAGAGAGTGTTACTTTCAGCTTCTTGCACCCAAACCGCACACAACTTTAACAACATACACTTCAGTCACGTCTCCATTTTCTCAGCTCAAATCGCACCCTTCTCGCTCAAATCAGCTGCTTTTTATATGCTGTTTTATTACAGTAACCATGACAGCAGGGCAATTTTTGAGACTTCCAGCTTGTAAACTGCTACAGTAAAGTGCACTGTGTGTTCTGGTTTGGCTGGTTGACTGACTGACCTTTTGGCCTGTGAGTTTCTTGTTTTTGAGTTTCTTCTCCTGGTTGCTCTTGGCTGGCTGGCTGGTGGAGATTGAGCGAAGATCCTCCGGTAGCCCGAAGGCCTTTGGGTCCTTGGACAGCGCGAGGTAGACATCCAGCAGGCAGTACGCATCAGCAGCTGAAAAGAGACAGAAAAAAGAGAGGGGGAAAGAAAGGAAGAGAGAGAGTGACTTATATTTTTTTGTTATTTTTCACATTGTAAACACATTTGTAAAACATCATAAATGAATCAATAACAGAAGTGTAATTTTTCTGACATTCTCATAGATGTCCCTTGGTGTTGAAAAGCGCTAGGCACAAATACATAGTCATTCTATCTGATATCCAAAATGATCAGTGAACCTACACACCTTCTGAGTTTTTATATGTAATGTCAATGATGGTAAAACAGTGTTAAATCTGAAAAAAATAAGTTTTCCTTGGGGACTATTTTGCTGTACAACACCCTGCATGTACCTCTTCACCGTGAATGGATTAAAAAATACATAAAAAAAAAAAAAACACAGACCAAAATCTTCTAAAAACTATCGTAAAAACTATCGTAAAAACTTATTAGCCAGTTTATTCACAGTGTCTAGTTCCTGTCACCACCGCTGTGAACAATTCTGACTCAGTTTCTCTAGAACTGAGTATTTCATATCAAAGCACTCTGAATTACTTTGTTTACATTTTAACTATTAAATTATGCAGAAATTATGAAAAATTAGACATAAAATTTCATGATCAATGCACCCCCACTGTGAAGTACGACTTCTAGCTCACATTAATTTATCAGACTTATAATGACGCATCATTATAAGTTGGTTAATGCCTCGGGACAATGACCATCAGAGTAACAACTAGATTAACTAATCTATTTTCCTCAGATGTAGCAGTTCAACTAATCACTGGATTAGACTCCAGTTGGTTTCTGGTGAATTCTGAATTTAAAATCAGAGTGTGATTGTCAGCACGGGTGCAGCAAAGCGGAAGCTACTGATGCCTTGTCTTAGGAACTCATTCAATCACATGAACTCACCTGAACCAGGAAATTCATTTAAACCACAAGTATGATTGAACAATAACTCTTATCGCAAATAATTCCACAGTCAGCATTTCTCAAAGCGCTTAAGACATCCCCATCATTCCCAGCGATACCTATACTCTTAAAATGTCTGTAATTAACAATACAGTTCAGACAGAAACTTCTTACAACTTATATAACATGCATAAGTGGAGCTACACTGCTATAGACTGAATAGACGGATCTATGTAAATTAACTGGATTTCATGATATCACAAATACAATAAATTCAAAATGGGCTGTTTTTGCAGTTTAAGTTCAGTTTATGGACCATTCAGACTGTGAAGTGAAAGGTACACTTTAGAACTTTATCAGTGTTTCAAATTCAATTCAAAAAGGTCAGGAAATTATGGTTTTCCATGATGAGAGCTTAAAAATCTGTACATAGTGTCTGTGTAAAGTAAGATAAAGTGCATTGTCATAAACTGGACATACAGATGTGTTACAACAGCAACAATATGTTTATTGCTGTAAAATCTCTTATCTCTCACTCTCACACCAACACAAGACCTCAAGCTTATCAGTGTCTTTAACAGCACCACATACAGAGTGACAGGACAGGCAGAATTTCCTGGACATTGTGTCTGACCTGCATAGCGGAGCTGACCAGTGCGGAGCGGCCGCCGCTCCCAGTTGGACAACTGTTCCGTTTTGTCGAGCGGTTTCCCCAGCACTTGCTGCACCAACAGACTCAACCCTTTCTCTGTCGAGCCCTCGATCACCTCCACTGACCGAGAACTGCTGCCCCCACGCCAGCACCGCTGCAGCTAATTTAGAGGTGAGAGGTCAAAGATCATACGTGATCTAAGTTAAGAGAGTAACAGTGTTTGGTCAGCTAAGTTCAGGTCAGATCATGGAGGTCAGATCAAAACTAGAGGGTTTGCCCTCTGAATTTCTACAAAGTTCCCCAGTAAAACAACATGAAAGCAGGTCTGATAACAGGCAGCTTATGTCAGTTAGCACAGATCAGCTAATAACATATTAGCTAACACTTTTCTGCTGTGGTTTGCATGTATCCTATGTAAAATATGTAGAACATTCATTGCTGGTTAGCAGGCTGTTAAATGTGATGTTTATTTATATGGTTGTGTTGGAAGTACACAGTACTGCGCAAAAGTCAGGGAGCAGTTATTACATTTCCAGGCAAAACAAGTTATTCATTCTTCAGGATATATTTCTGAGGAGATTAGATACAAGATTATCTGCTTGCATAAGGAAGTAGAAAGTCAAAGGAGAAAAAGTTTAGAAAGCAAGAGTTTCCAGAATTGGAGTTCAAAATATTATTATAAAACTAAGGTATGGTTAAAGAATTTTCTTTACAGTTACAAATTAAAGAAAAACGGGACTCTAACAATCACGTAAGACTTGTCAGAACACAAAAACTGTCCCCATCAGATAAACAGCACTTAAAGAAAATCAAGCTGCTTCAGATCCAAAAAAATCCACAGTGTTAATGAATGTTCTTCTTTGACTACCGTACATTTAAATAAGTCTCTAAACTGAAAGCAAGTCTACTGAAAACAATTAAAAGTATAATAAAGGCAAAACGATAAACAAACTCAATACTTTGATATTATATTTAGGTGTTGAGACTTTTCTGTTAAATATATGTTTTCTGCTTTTTTCCTGATGCTGAAACATAAATAACTTAATGGCAGTTTTGACTTCAAATGAAATAAATAAAGGGTAATCTCTGACTTTTGCGTAGGACTATGCTTGTTTCAAATATGATAAGTGTTGCTACAAAACGAAAGCCAATACAACCCTTTAGTATTATGTCAAGACGGCCATGCTAACTGACTCTGACTACTTTGGATTCATTAGCCAGGTGAGCCTTTTTTTGGAATAAAGTGTTCTCCATAATTATGGAAACAAGCATGCTAACCAATTCCTGCTAGCATTTTTTCATTGTTAGCTATATTATTACTTCTAGGTAAAGTATGCCTTTGAAAGCAGGTGTGGCTGGTTGAGAAAGTAGCATGAATTACCTGTTGATGGACGTGGAGCAGGTCCAACATGCCTTTAACCTCCAGAGGCTCCTCCTTTAGCTCAGGCCATGTGGCCACCAGACTCCTAAAATCCCCAGACATCCCATAACCTGCAAACACACATATTAACACGCTGAAAAAGAAACATCCAGAATGATCGCAACCTGCAGTATGTCCACCATATGTTAATCCTCCCAGAACTTCATGTGTTGCAGAAACACTGGATCACAATAAAGCGATCAAGACTACATTTTCCCATAAAAGAGCGTGAGACAGTGTAGACGTTAACTTTCCCAAGAACCGAAATGTAAACCTAAACCCACCGCTAGAAGAGCACCTTCCCTTTAGGGGTAACATCAGAGCCTGGAGGTCTATCACTCACCCAGTTTGAGGACGTTCTTGTCAGTGAGTAGCATTCGGATGAATTGCACAGTCAGACTGTGATGGTTGAGGCTGTGAGCACACAGGTCCAACAAAAACACCTGCCCTTCCACCGCCAGCTGGATCAGAGCAACATGCTGCGTGGACACGGTGCCAAACCCCGCTCTCCACTCCATATCCACACCCACCACACAGCCTGGCTATGGAGTAGAGGGGCATTTTTTGTTAGGTCCAGCTAAATCTTCTTAAAATTAACCCTTACCCTCTTCTCACTCTATTACCCTGATGCAAACCATGACTGGAACCATAAGCATAATTCTGAATCTAACCTTAAACATAAACAAAGACACAGAAACAAATGATTAGGCTCTTTCATTTTTTAAAATAAAGGATGTTTAAAAAATATATCAATAAATGAGCATTCCTCTTTGATTGAACTCCATATAACCATGTATTTGACCCTAAACATGAACAAAACCACAGAAAATATTTTGGCTCTTTAGGTTTTAAATATAAAAGATGCAAAAACGTCAATAAAATGACATGAGCATATTCTTCAGTGGGAGTCAGCATAAAGAATAAAAGGGGAATTCAATCGATGAGATGTAAACAAATTCATTCAGAGTGGTTTGGTGTGAAATGGTTCACTGTAGAGAAATTCACTCATATTTCTTTGCAGTGGTCTGTGATAAGATGGGATATATACAATGCAAATATAGCCATTTTATTTGCTATCAAAAACCACCAGTGAACCTACATGTCGTCTGAACTTTTATGTACACATATTTCATCTCCAACCTAGTATCTGCGGCAAGCTCTTAGCAAAACGAGATATAGCCACAAGAGGAAAAGAAATTAGGTCAGTAGAACAGAGACCTGTTCCAGCCGAAGATTATACCTTTAACACAGTCTCCCTGCACAGCTGTAATTGGTCTAAAGTCTGCAGAAAGTGGATGTTCTCTCTGGCCAAAGGCAGCTGATAGTATTGCAGCTGGTGAGACTGAGAAGTGACCCAGGGCTCCAGTGGACAGCTCGTTTCATTCACTTCTCTGAAGGAGATAAGAGAAGAGGGTGTGTAGTGTAATAATGTGTGTACATGTGTGTATGAATGTGAGCAGTGTTTAAATGTGTGGAAGTGAATGAGAGGGCAAAAACATTCTTCACTTTTAATGTAAGTTAGTGTAAAGAGATTTTATTCTAAGCAATTTTGGAGCATTTCTATTGGTCCATTCATCATGAAATGTTCACATGATGTACAGGGCAGCTGCTGGGCTCAAATGATGTAGAAAAAAAGATACTTTTTTGTGGACAGCGAGAAAATGTGTATCAGGGCTGCACAATTACTTGTATTTTATCGTTATCGCATTATGAGTTACTGCAACAGACATACTGTTCAGGGCTGTTTTCAGGGAACAAATTACTTAACAAGAAATTAGATTGATGGGATTAGATTAGACTGATGCAAATGGAATAAGGATTAAATGAATCTGCAGGTTATACTACCATTACTGGAAAAAACAAAAGGGACAGAAAACGTCCTTTGCAGTATGTATGATTAGTGTCTGGTGTAAAATAACAATTGGTGTGAATGTGCATATATCCTGTTTCGAGAGTGTGTGTGTGTGTGTGTGTGTGTGAGACACTCACAACTGTTTGGCAGAGAGGCTCTGCATGGTGTCCCAAACCCCAGTCGGGAGTCTGTCTCTAGGTACATTGTAGCGCTTGGCCCACTGGGCAGCCACCCGTAGCTCAGAATAATGAACCAGCAGATCCACCAACAGAACCTGGAGCTCTACATTGCCCTCCACTGTGACCTGAGAGTGCCCATGCAAACACACACAAACAAATAAACAAATGAAATTGCAAGAAAACACTTACACTCCAAGTCCTATTCGATATATAGCTTTTGGCTGATAAAACCAGTTTCCAGCCTAATTATGCTGTCAGTTAATCTATTCCTGAAGTCCTAACCAATGGAAGAGTTAGTCTGAAAACATTCTGATTGGACAATTTTCCAATAGCAGTATGGTTTAACCCATATGCTTTTAACAAAAATTTAACAATATAATAAAAGTGTAACAATACTTGCAGACTTTCAATAGAAAATGTTAAAAAGTAAAAAAGTATTAGACTATTAATTAAAAAATTACATTTTTTCTGTGAAATCGTTAGGCCTTCTCTGGATGGCTAAAAAGCCCTGAGGGTTTGCCACTGAAAATTAATATTGGCAACAAAATTATTAGTAACAAAACTTTCACATGGTTCGGATCCAAACATACATGCATGCACAGTCTACCTGGACATGGTCCCTCCAGTTCTCCTCAGTCATGCTTTTCTGAAACAAAGACAGCAAACAGTGCTTAACACAAAAAAATAGCATAAGTAAGTTAAGGTATGTGATAGAGAAACAGGACTACACACGATACAAAAGATAAAAAATGACTTATGTTTGCATTGATAAGAAATCCTTTAACATATATAAGCAAATAATTATGCAGACTACGGGTGATATGCTGTCATGTGCGCTTATGCTTCCAACTTGAGCTGTATTAACCAATAACTCAATACACAGGCACTTATCAGTGTAATCAGCTAATAAAACTCTAGGTTTTAAGAGGTATTAACCTATTGCTCATTCCACAGGCATTCATCAGTATTAATTAGCTATTAAACTCATTTATGATTCACCAAAAGGGACACACTGACCAAAATTAAAAATGTAACCATTGCAAGAGCTGTTGTAAACATACCTACTTGCCTCTTAAAGCAGTGCATCTGTAGTCTCTAAAGAGAGATTTCCTGTTTAAAGACTAAGAATACCTCCTTCTGCTGATGTATCTTGAAGGTGTACATAACTTCTGAAAGACTACAAGTACTTCATGGTAGATATTTGAGGATGGGCTGTTTGCTTTTTTATTGTTTTTGCTAGCTGACACATTCTTTAACTTTAATTTTTTTCCTGAAGTTCAATGCCTAATTGAGTGTTATATCACTAATGCTAGCTAGAGGTATTTATGTAACGCATTCTGGGTAATGTAGCAAGAGACCATTGTTGGACAAAAAATACAAAAATGAAACAAAATTGAGAATTCTGTCAAACCAATGAGGCTGAGGGGTGCAATACTACAGTATACACTGCAGTATCCGACATAACAAATAACATATTAAATTCTAATTTTTGTCCAGAATGACCCTAAAAGTATGAAAGAACAATGTTCTCTGCTTACCTCTCGGAATCTCTTATACATGAGAAACTTCAGTGAGTCTTGCTTCCTCTTGTGGACCGAGTTCACACACAAGCCTGCAGTGAGAAAAAAATGAAACACAAGGTTCAGAGACTGTGTATACAGTATTGTACAAAGGTCAGACACCACCCTACATTTATTTAATTTGCAGTCAAAACAGTCATTAAGTACAATTTATTCATTTTTAGGAGTTATTTCTGATGAGATTAGATATAATATAACCCACTTGCTTAAGTAAAGAGAAAGTCAAGGGAAAATAACTGAAGTTGACTATGCCTCTAAAAGGTCAGGGCCCACCGGCAGGCCTAGAGTTTTATTACACACTTCTATAAACTGAGAATAGCTCAACTAGTTTTACACTGAAGCCCCTGTAGTTACTGATACTAAACCTTAGTATGTAATGAGTCTGGAATGATAAGGGGTTAAAGATATAGAGAAACCTAAGAACCTTAGACTCCTAACAACCATGCAAGACCTGGTAGACCATCAGAACTGGCACTATCAGATAAACAGCACTTAAAGCTTTCATCTTTGAGAGAGAGGAGAAAATCAAGCCACTTCAGATCTGAAAAAATCCACAGGTGTTTCTGTCCATCCTTCCACTGAGAGAAGACAACCTAATAACGTGAGTCTGAAAGAATGTGTAGCTGTCAAGAAGCTCTAACTTAGAAAAGGAAAGAGACAAAAAAGAATCAAACAAAGCAGCTGCTGGTGTTCTCAGAACAATGAACCAGAACAATGAGTCCAGCCTCAACATCACTGTATGTGCTTGGGATTATTTGAATCATGAGAAGCAGAAAATGCAACCAACTTCTAAGACTGAATTTGAGGTGTGGAAAAATATCCCTGCAGATTTCTTTGAAAAACTGAAAGTGAGTCTCCTGAAAAGAATGGAAGCTGTAATAAAGGAAAAGTGTGGACACATTAAATATCACATATGAAAAGATTATATATATATATATATATATATATATATATATATATATATATATATATATATATATATATGTATAGTTGTTGAGGATTCTGTGTAATTTTATGTTAAATATATGTTTTCCGCTTTTTCCTGACACTGAAAAATGAATGACTTGCACTTATTGACCGCTTTGACTGAAAATTAAATAAATGATGGTCAGTCTCTGACTTTTGCACAGTTGTGTACATCACAGACAGCCTGTATGTACGTATGCAGCAGGCTAACATTAAAGAACACATGGAGGTACATATATGCAGTCATACACATGAATGACAAGCAAGTACTCGCACATACACACTCATATACAAACACACTTGGATCAATGTTGAACTTCTCCATGAGTCGGAAGACGTGTCTGCTAACCAGCTTGGGCTGGATCTGGTCTGCCTGGTGCTTGGAGAGGGACAGGACAGGATACTGCCTGCAAAAAAAAAACAAAACACGTATATATTTACTCCACAAACATCGCATGGCAAACCAAAACTCTAACCTGACATAACGATTAAACGTGTGAAAATGTTGAAAGATTGTATTAAATCAAGACCAGTTATCTTTAAACACCACTAGCAAAAACTGCCAAACTCAAGCTGACATCCATTACTATAATACATTTGAAAATACGAATCATTTTAGTCATTTTTGTCATTTTATTTGATTATAATTTAAATAATGTAGACGGAAAATTATGAAATTTGACATCAAAAGGTACTTGTAGATGTTTTATTAATATTTAAAAGTTGGGGAAAAAAAGTAATCAGTACTGTACAGTAATAACCCATTTATAGCAATTTGGTATATTTACTGCCTTAAGATTTGAGCACCATTTTTCAAATACAAGGCGCTGTGGATCTTAACGCAATGGTATACGGCAGTTTTCTTGCAGTTTAGTTCCAACTTGCATCTAACATGCTGCCCTGCACTGATCAGCCAAAACATTTTGACCACCTGCCTAATATGGTGTTGGCCCCCCGTTTGCCACCAAGACACCTCCGATTTGCCAAGGCATGCACTCCACAAGACCTCTGAAGGTGCCCTGTGGTATCTGGCACAAAGACATTAGCATCAGATCCTTTAAGTCCTGCAAGTTGAAAGGTGGAGTCGCCGAGGATCGGACTTCTTGATCCAGCATGTCCCACAGATGCTCGATCAAACTGAATTTGGAGGCCAGGACGGAATAGCCTTCATTGCCCATGTGCATCGATGTGTCTTGGGTGCAAAACACCCTGTCGCCTTTTCAGGTTTTGGTGTTTGGTAGGTACTCCCCACTGCTGACCTGGAGCACCCCACAAGCCTTGCTGCTTCAGAGGTGCTCTGGCCTAGTCATCTGACCATAACAATTTCCTCTTGTGAAAGTCGGTCAGGTCTTCATGTCTGCCTATTTCTCCCACATCCAACACACTGACTACAAGAGACTGTTTACCGCCTAATATGTTCCAGACATGCACCGTTGTTACAGGATAATCAACGATCAACATTGATTCACCAACTATTCTTAAGAAGAATATGTTTTCACAAAGATTCTGACATTCAACAATGTTTCCTTATTGGTGATTTGTTCTTAGGTAAGAATGATTCTGCAATTTAAGTACACATCATGAATCTGATGTAGACTTTTTCTTAGGACTTTTCTCAAGAACACATTTAAAAACAAATGTAGGAAGATATTGGTGAATGAGTCTTAATATTATTCACTATCTGTAAGTGGTCATAATGTTTGGCAGGATACATACAGCATGCATCATTCTGGAAGTAGATATGATTTTTCAACAGCTTTCTACTAACTACTAAACCTGTGAAGATGCACAGTACCAGCATCATTAGACAGTTTGTATAAGTGCAACAAAACTGATTTTATATTACTGAAAACAGTGATTCACTGTAACATCACTGCTGTCCAAAGAAAAACAGGTATCTCCAAAATGGCGAGTTTACAGGAGAGGGCAACATGTTCTTTACTTTCAATTTAAATGAATATAAAGAGATTTTACTCCAATCAAGTTTGAAGCTTTTCTATTCATCGAATCATCATGAAATTTTCACACAACGTACAGGACAGCTGCTGAGCTCAAATTTAACAGAAAACTAAAAATCACTGAAAGTGGAAAGTGGAGTTTTTTTTGAACAGCAATGGTATGTAGTACATAAAAGTGTCACCTCCGCAGTTCCTCCAGGTTGAAGTCTGGGTTGCACCACGAGTCCAGCAGCCTGACCAGCTGCTTCTGCAGCTCAGGGTGATCACGCACATATGACTCGGCTAGCGGCAGCTTGTCCAGGAGAATGAGAGGTACACATATCTGTCAAGGGATAGAGAAAGAGAGAGAGAAAATGAGGATGAAGTGGGGAAAATCTTGTGCAGAACTGGGAGTAGAATAGTTATAATTGTCTTTTTAATCGGTTTACTGACCTGCTCCATGTCAAGCTCTTTCTGAAGTTCTACTTTCATGCTAAATAAAGCTGCCTGCCAGGAAAACAAATAGAGTATTGTATCAGTCAAGGAAAAATATGATGCATGCTTCTGGTGCACGGTTGTAGTAAAATTTGTAGGCATAATTTAAGCCAGGTCTAGCTCATACAAGTCAAAGCTGACAAAGGTCACCTTTGTATCTTCTGCCACAGGTCATGTTGTTTCGTAGTCTACAATAAAGCAAGCTGTTTTAAACTTACTAACTAAATTTATTTGAATGACGTTTAATAAACAAAAGCTGAAGTGGAGTTACAAGTTTTTCTAATCTACTCATTCATGTATAAACTGTGTGTATGTACCTCTCTGTAACCGCCAATGTTCTGAAGGTAGGTCACATGCTCCAGCAGGTGGCTGGTCTCCAGGATGCCCAGCTCATAGATGTCCAACAGGGGGTCCATGTAGCCGGGCTGGGAGGCTGTTATGAGGCTCAGTGCGCTGAGCTGCAGCCTCAGTTTCTCCTCCTCCGTCAGCCCCTTCAGACTCACCCGAGGGTGGCTGCACCTCCAGCGCACAAACTCATTGAGGATGAACTGGCCCAGGGTGGAGGACTTGCCCTTCTGAATGCCTGGGCAGTTCTCCAGCATGGTCAGCAGCCCAACTAAGGGGTCCTGCAGCTGAGAGAACCCAGACACAGCCTGCAGTCTGAGCTAAAAGGAGAAAAGAGTAAATTGTGTTTAAATAGGGCTCTCAATCACAGTGGTACAGGGACACAGCTCTGCACAGCTTAAAGTAACGGTTTGACTAAAGGAAAAAAAAAAAAAACAAACACATGCCTACTTAGATAAAAATTTAAAAATTAGCTACTACATTGGCCTTGTAGCTCAATAAAAACAAAACAAAGAACCAAACTCTGAAGACCAAACATGTCTTGGCTGATCAGCTAACTTTAGGGTAAGGATATTGCTATGTAAATTTACTTTTTGGTTGACTTCTCACTTTAAAGGGGGATTACAACATTTTTTTCTGCATTAATAAATTATTAAGATGTAAACAACGTCATGAAGAGCGGTGTGATACTGGGTGTTTCATTCTAGAGAAACTTTTCTTGAATTATGTTCAAGAACTGTTCACAGTGGTGGTGATAGGAAACAGACTTCTGAAATGTTTAATGCATTTAAAAGCTCCATCACCAGAATGTTATTACATTCAATATGTATGAACACGCTGCCTGATGCCTGAGACACTGTTTCACAGCAGTTTTGACATAAGGTCTTGGCCTATAACAATTTTTGGTAGAGGAGTAAATAAGACATTGTAAACTTTCCACTTTTTACCATCATCAACGTTACATAAAAAATTTAAAAGACACTTGTAAGTTCACTGGTGGTTTTGGATAGTGAATAAAATGGCTATACTGGCGTTGTAAATATTACAACTCCTGGTTCCTATCAGCACCAGTGTAAAGAAATCTGAGTTGGTAAATTTCTCTACAACAAACTATTTTACATCAAAACAATCCAATTGACATCTCAGCTATCGATTTATGCAGAAATTTTGAAAAAATCAGTGGAATTCCCCTTTCATACTTTTCCCCTGGGGAAACTCATGCTGCAAGTCTATAAAGCTGAAACTGAGGTAATGGGGAAAAGGCTTAAGTAGGTCCTATAGATCCTTAAGCCCACTGATTAGAATATCACCAGCACAGTGAGAATTCACTTTGAATAGATAACTACAACATCCTATAATCATAACGGCACATCAGAAGAAAACATGTACATTCATGTAGATTCAGATGTTCCTCCACCCCACTACGCTGTATTTGGCTCTCTAACATCTAGGCCCCACCTGCATTCCTGGGAACTAACATCAGATAAGCCTGCTCTTTGAGGGCAGACCTGGAATGTTATTGACATTCAGCACACCTAACAATCTCCCTCTGCACTGACTTTTGAAGTTGAATCATATGCCTAAGCATGGGCGATATGGCAAAAATATGACATACTTGAAGGCATTTTCATGATACATGATTGAAGGGGGAAAATGATATTTTGGTGTCAGACAAATTTCACCAGCGTTTTCCATTGAAAGAAAAGTGTAATCTAGGCTGCAGCCCAGGTAGGCTGCGTTTGTTGGCCACAACATCACCGAAGGCTGTTCCAAAGTGAAGGATCTTTTGTATACAGTCTAGAAATGCAGCCTATGTTTGGAGTGACTTCGAAGACACAACAGGTGTATCCTTCCAGGCTTTCGGTTACCCACAGTTCTCAGTGCACGAACAACACGAAGGACGCACCACAAAAATGACGGAAAACGAAGCTGTTGGAGCAGAGCTTGTTTTAATTGTTTTAAAATGTAAGTTGTTCACGTACTTGAATTCATCTTTGTTACCTCATAAAGTGTAAAATGATTAATTAATCAAAGCATTCATCCCTATATCATATATCGTCCATATATTGTATTTATTTGGAAGTATTTGTATACATGTAGTTTATCATACTACATAAGAACATCTTCATTTCTGTGAAGAAATGAAAAAGCAACAAACACAATATAACAGGCTCCGTTTTCTTCATAGGACAGGTGCTAGCTGCAGCCTAGGCTTTGGAACACAACTACAAAATATGATTGGGTCTGTTTTTGTGTGTTATGTTGAGCAAATACAGGTAAATAAAAGAAAGCAGAAAAAGTATGTACTGAGACACACCATGGGTCATTGTTCTTGTTCTTTCCATTGACGTCCACTTATGACATCTGTGCGGTTTTATGCCTCAATAATGGTCATAATTCATTTTTACATGATTATTTTAAAACCTATCTGCATCTCTCACAACTAAACAGGCTGTTTTTGTTACTGTGCCTTTAAGACTGATACATGTAAATTACCTGTTTTGATTGGCTGTCTTGTATTGTGCCTCATTCAAAAAGCACTCAGAGCTAAAACATTCCTTAGCACTTCAATATAAATGGCCAGGCTACACTGATGGAGACTGAACAGATGTAAATGTGTTGGTTCTTGTGACATCAAAGAAGCAAATTCAAAACAGCCTGTTTTTTGCAGCATGGTTTCCGTATGTGGATTGTTTGGACTGGGTAGTGAATGGCTTGTTTTGAAATCTTGACAATGCTCACATATTATAGAGGGAAATTTTAGTACAAAAAAAGAAACTTAATTGCAATTATTTATATAGCAATGAATCGTCAGTTGCAGTTTTATAACCGTGACAGGCCTAATAGGCTGACGCCAAATCTACTTGTTACTATGCAGGTTATGCAGTTACTGTACACTGGTGGTTGTTGTTGTTTACAGCCTCACAATATTTGGTCTAAATCTGTTCTTTTTCACCTGATTTTTGCAGGTGTACAATGCTCTAAGCACTGAGATTCACTCAGAAAGGTCTATAATGATACAATTTATTGCAATAATGATAAAATGTTGTCATCCTGCCCACCTCAACACTTTAATATATACGCTTTCCTTCTTTCCCACAACAGGTAGTCTATGAAACATGCTCTCAGACAGCACTCTTTTTGTCCTGTTCTGCAAGCTGCTCTTAAGGGAGAATGGAGTTACAGCAGTGTCTTACCGCCTCCAGCTCCTTCCTGCTCCACAGGTCAAAAAGCTGCCCTTGCAGGGCTGCCGGGTCAACACCTGGGGATACACACACAATATATAGTCATACACACTGTCCTCTTACCCCCCACCTGTCACCAAACATACAGACATCCTTCACCGTCCTCAAGCCCTTTCCTGCTTTCTTTCCGCTCTTAATTATCATTACACTTTTCCTTCCTATTCATACTTTTCCTGTTTATTGTTCAACAGTATAGAGGTGAGAGGAGCTGCATGCACATTGTAATGCATGTCATACTGAACTACCAAATATGGTGCTGTACTACAAAATACATAAATAAACACATTTTTCTAAATTAATGGTTTCAAAACATGACATCTTTTTACTAACAAGGTGGTTTAAAATGAAGCAATAAGCCAACGGTTTCGAAAGTGGTCCTGAGGGCCCCTCAGATGATCCACTCTTTTTCTTCATATCTGAGTTGGTGGGCTGGAGCAAAAAATGTGGACGGTCATGACCTGGTTGGGAACCACGTCAATTAGTCACAAGAAGCTGCGCGTTACAGTGATTTTACTATGGCTTGGTGCTGTGATGCACAATATAAAGCTGCAACTAAGTACAACACAATAATTATTAATAGTAATTAACAGTGATGTCACAGTTGATGGAATTTGCTTGTGCGCTGTTGCTCTGATTTTGCACCTGTAGTCCTTTCCAAGTATGCAGGAAGTTGTTTTAAGCTGGGGGTGCTGAAATTTTAAGCTGCACATACGTGATGTAAAAAGTGACATCATGCAAATTGATTTGCTTTTTTCCATTTATCTTAGAATTCTATAATGTGGCAAAAGACGATGATATACACGTATAACTGACACATCCATCCTGCTCACCATGATCTTTCGTTCTAGATGAACTTGCAAATGAGTGGTGACAAATCAGGTTGTTGATATGCGGTGCAGTAACTGTGTCAGAACCATAGTCACACACTGAGCATGCAATATAGAGTACTAATTTTTAAAAAAAAAGAACATTATGCCAGATTATTTTTTAAGTCTACAAACAAAACTGGCCTACAGCTCTGCGTACACTTTCCCTATTCACTCCTCAACCTGCTTGTGTTTTACCCACAGGGGACCAACAGCTGTTGAGGGAAGTGATTTGGCGTGTTTTGATGAAAAGAGATAGTTAACTTATATTTGTATTAAACATACATTTAAATAAAACAAAAAATACAAACTGCACTCTACAAAAAGCACATCTTTACTATCCTCATCTCATTACATGGTAGAGACAGGAGGCACGCGAAAATGGAATATCGCAATCAATAGTATCAGTAACATTAGCACTTACCATGTTGGACAGTGCTCACAGGAAAGAATATGTAGCATGTATGAGAGCAAGAGGCAGCGTCTACCTTGATTATATATTATATACACTCATTGGTTGGAGCATGCAGCCACTATTGCTCTCACAGGATGTTGGTGATGAAAAATGAAAACTGTTCAGGATGTTCAGGATTATGCATTCACATGATGAAAATAAATGTGGATTTTTGAAAACAATACATATATTCTGATGAAGCTTATTTTGTCCACTCAGCTATAACAAAATGCACCACTTTTTTTTTATGGAAAAAATGATGTTTCAAATTAATCACAACTAAATCTTGTAATTGTTTGATGGCCCAATTATTAAAAATTGTTATAATAAACAACTGTTCTGCCCTGCAATATAGTTTAACATGTTTCATGTTTCCTGCTGTAAAATAAGTTGATTATTTTACAGCAGGAAACATGGCTGAGTGAATCAGATTTTATAATGGAAATGTTTCATCTTATAGGCACAATTTTCTCCTTCTAACTTAAAGGAAAGTGTAGCTTACTAAGCACCACCTTATTTCTCTATTGAACTACAGGATATTCTTAAACAAGACACTTGCAGTTTTCGGCCCCCCACCCCAATCTTTATTACATGTGGAAACTTCACACTGCATCTGAATTGAGCAAAAGAGGGTCACAAAATTACCATTTAATATGCGTACGAGGGAGGGGGGGTGGGCTATTGTTGCTGAAGAGGTGCTGGGCCTTTGTGTTTTTGGGAACGATTTCACCCACAATGCTGCGAGAAGATGAGACATTTTCTCAAGGAGGAGGAGGAGGGGGGTTCAAAAAAGGCGGTTAACAATGGAGGAATGGAGGGGAAGTATATGTTCCTTTGAGTTGAACTGAAAGCAACTGGTCTGCTCATGCTGTGTGGCCAACACCTCATCTCTCTCTCCCTCCCTCTCTCTCCCTCTTTCTTTTCTTCCCAGGGCTGGTTCCCCCCGTCTGTGTTTGTCTCGGATTTCCCCCGGAAAGGGCAACACGGTGGTTACGGTGTAAAAAATCCAGCCTTTCCTGAGCGGCAGCCTGGGAAAACGGAGCAAAGGGCTTTTCTCTGTCCACACTTCAGCCCCTGTGGCCGGTCACGCTACAGAACCGCTTGTTACTCTGCACAGATCATTCCAGAAAACTGCACGCTACTCAGCCAAATACACATTACTGAACATTACTGAGCCAAGACATTATTGCATTTTACTGCAAATTACTGAGCCAACACATTACTGTATAATACTGCTTATTACAGCATAATACTGCTTATTATTGCATATTATTGCTCATTACAGCGCCAACATGTTACTGCTCACTACTGCATATTACTGCTCATTACTGCATATTACTGCTCATTACAGCTCATTACTGCATAATACTGCATATTACTGCTCATTACTGCACAATACTGCTTATTATTGCATATTATTGCTCATTACAGCGCCATGTCACTGCTCACTACTGAATATTACTGCTCATTACTGCATATTACTGCTCATTATAGCTCATTACTGCATAATACTGCATAATACCGCATATTACTGCTCATTACTATATAATACTGCTCATTACTGCATATTACTGCTCATTACAACCCAACATGTTCCTGCTCACTACTGCAGAATACTGCTCATTACTGTGTCAATGCTACTCCTTGTTACTGCATATTACTGCGTACTACTGCTCATTATTGCATATAACTGCTGATTAATGCATACTGCTGGTCATCACTGTGCCAACTTGTTACTGAATACTACTGAACATTACTGCATTTTATTGCATATCACTGCAAGATACTGCACCAATACATTACTGGATCTTACTGAGCCGACACTTTACTGTATATTACTGTGCCAACAGACCAATGCATACAACTGTGCCAACACCTTAGCGCACATTACTGTGCCAACAGATTTATGTATATTGCTATATCTCACTGCAGATTAGTGTGATAACATATTGTAAATGACTCAACATATTAACGCATATTACTGAGATTTTACAGTGCCAACACATTACAGTGCCAACATTTTAACGCATATTACTGTGATTTTTACAGTGCCAACACATTACTGTACATTACTGCAAATTACTGCAGATTATGGCATTTTACTGTGCATTACTGCAGATTACTGTGTCAACTCATTGTGGTATAGTACGATGTCCCAAAACATTATATTATTGAGCCAAAACATTATCGTATTTTAATGTGCCAGCACATTAGTGCATATTACCGCTTAATGGTTAGTTATCATAAAACAGCTATATGCGTACATACTTTGGGTATATTTACAACTACTGTTACACACACGTACATTGAAACACTTTTGGCCCAAAGATGGTTTAAACACCTGAGACTTTTGAGGTCTGATATCACAACAAGGGGATAAAATGTATGGGCTTTGGCTTTATTCCTTCAATTCTGCAATTTTTTACCAAATAAAAAAAGAAAGATCTCAACAACTGTTTTTTTTTTTACATTATTATAAAACGGAGAACAGAAAAAAAACATATTCATGTATTAAATGCATTTTGAGAAGCTGGGTATCCCCACTAACAGGGTAAAGGCAGGGTTAATACGGAGTTGCGAAATCGCGCATTGTCCTGTATGACTAAACGTTCACACTCACAGCTATGCATGTCACTACAGAAAGCTTACACAAACAAAATAATCTCACAAATCAGACTGCGACGTTCAAACATGCGTGACAAGACGAGAGGAGTCGAGACAAATGCAGCACTGTGTTGCTACACACAGCCCAGAGCAAAACATGCTGCAATAGGTGCCTTTCCCCAAAACAAGCTGTTAAAAAAACCTTCTTCAAACCAGCACAGGCACAACTAGCTAACTTAATGAGACAGCTCAGTGACAAATCAGATTTACACAATTTTCCCCTTCCATAAAGTCCATAAAGCCCAGACTGTTTGCTTCTTTAGTTTTGCGCTGATGGCTTATGTAGCTAATAAGTAATGGAAGCTTATATGACACCAATTAGCATGGTTCAAACTGCATGCCTTAATCATCACTAACTCGCCTCAAACCGTGCCGAGCTCTTAAGTAGTCTCAAATAGGTTTACAGACCCAGTATGATACACTGTTGCATATAAAAGTGTTTTTAACTAAACTAACCCTCAAAAGACTGGGAGGTTAGCTAATGGGAAAAAGTCTTTTCCCATTAGCTAACCTCCCATGGCCACCCATGTGATGAGTTAGACAGTCAAGCAATACGCACTTAACATTCTCCTCCCTTTGTCCTCACTGCTGCCCCATTCCTCTCCACACATACACTCGCAGTGGGGAAAGCCGGACGGAAGGAGACAGTGGAATGTGGGCTATGTGACTAGTTAATGGGAAGAGGGAGAGTTATTGGAGGGGATGGGTATGCACTTAAAGTAGTCCATATCATCCTCTAAGCCTATTGTTTCCCACCCGTAACAATACGATGACCTAAATAAATCTTCGACTAATCCTCTTTCAGTATAACGTGTTTTCTGGTGATGCTAAATGCCCAAAAAAGATGGTAAAGTTGTTAAACACATTAGTGAAATATAAGTGAGTCAAAACGAGCCAAATCAACGCAGTGTGATTTAATTTTATCAAGTGAATGGTACAACAAAAAGCTTTTCTTCATAGTCCCTCAGTGACACAAAAGCAGTAGTGTTTTGTTGCCATGTTTTCTTGGCATGTGCAATCGCATTGGATCAATGCCACCAAGAAAACGGCCATTAAGTACAAATTATCCATTTTTCAGTTCCGGAAAATAAGCAGAAAATGTATATTTAACAGATATTTACACAGAAGTCTCACCAACTATAATAAACATTTCAGTGTGTCCACGCTTTACCTTCATTACAGCTTCCATTCTGGAGACTTGCTTTCAGTTTTTCAAAGAAATCTGCAGGGATGTTTTTACACACCTCTAAAGTTCAGTCTTAGAAGTTGGCTGCACTGTCTGCTTCTCACCTTCCAAACAACCCCAAACGTATTCAGTGATGTTGATGTCTGGACTCTAGGGTGGTCAGTCCATTGTACTGAGAACACCAGCAGCTTCAGCAGCTGTGTCTGTGTCTTTTTCTCAGTAAGATCGTCTTGGTAGCTACACATCCTTTCAGACTCATAGTGCTGAGTTGTTTTCAGAAACACCAGTGGATTGTTTTAGATCTGAAACACTGTGGTTTTCTCCTTTCTCTCAAAGATGAAAGCTTTAAGTGATGTTTATCTGATATGCACAGTTTTGGTGGTCTATCAGGTCTTAGGAGCCTCTTTTCTCTGTATCTTTTATTCATTTTTATTTCAGATTTGGAAACTTTGACTTTCTCCTTACTTTTGCAAGTAGATTATCTTAGATTTCATCTCCTCAGCAATATCCCCCAAAAATGAATAGGGTGGTCTTGTCTTCTGAAAAGTACTGCAGATTTGACTGATAATTCAAATCGATATTTCAATCTCAAATCGAGCAAAATGTTTAGCTGATGCTGGGCTATTGCGCTAAAATGTTCTCATTTTATCTATCTATATTCATCTATTTTATCCATTATCTTTCAATGATCCAGATGGACTTCAGCCCAGTTTCTACATTTATCATTTTAAGAATGTGCATGTTTTGGAATTGGCTTTAACAGATATCTACCTGAAAAAATATCAAGTATCAGCCTAGAGTTCCCACATCTATCTTTCTATAATGGGGTGCATGATTAAAAAATGGGCAAAATTGGAATCAGATTTTTTCGCCCAACGCAGGATCAGTGATCTGCCAATTGTTTGCTTTGATTTTAGCTAATCTATACTGCTAGTTTGTGAGGCAAATAATGTGATTCAGACACATCTGCACTGTATTTGAATGCCACTGCTACACCTGTACCATAACATTATATCATTAAATATGTATGGCTCACTGTGTTAAATAGCTAGTTGCCTTTTATTAGGCAATAAAATTGGAAACAACTTTTGTGCTTAAGAATTGAAAAGGCCAGTTTCGCCCATTAAACACCAAATAATGTTCTTTATGTTGCAACTCTGGCTAACGGAAAGTGCTGGTACTAGTGGGTTTCATATGTTCATTTAGCCCACACAATGTCAGCTTTAGGTATTTAAACATAAATAGCTAATAACATTGGCTCTAAATGGCTAAAATTTGACTGCAAAGAAATTGAAATCGATTACAAAAAACTGATGATCCCTAGTAAACACAAAAACACTGCAATGGTAAAGAAAGGATAAAATAAGGAAGAAGCAAGCATTACACAAGCAGTAAATAATCAGTAAACAGGATGTCAGTCTCACTTGACCAGAATATTTAAAGCTACACTATGTAAAATTAGGGGATTTGGAAATGTGTAATTGCATGCAACTCGCAGAAGAACACTTTGTAACATCGGTTGGGCTTTGAACGCCTTCTCTGAGTGGATAAACCTGATGATTGTGAGCACATGAAAGAGAATTCAATGAGAACTCTGTCAAAACTTGGTGGACATGTCCTCGGAGGATAAAAGTGAATTATCTACTATTGTCATCATCAGTATAATGTTAAATTTGAATTTGAGACCTAAACATTGAGCTGGACCTTCTTTTTGAGACTGTATGAATGACATTAATACATACAGACATATGAAGTGGCCCAAAAAAAACCCATCTGATTTTTTAACTATTATTTCAGGCTTCACAGGGTGACTCACAGCAGCACACACACATAGCACACTTTAGCATGTTCTTTAGCATTAGCTTCTTTCACATTTAACAAAAATCTCTTACATACTGCAGCTATAAGTACCCAAAGGTTGGTTCTTACCCTCTGATCGTGCAGCTGGGTTCATTCTTCCCCAGGAGGTGGCGCTCTATTAACACACAGGTTCAACGTCCTTTAAAAGAAAAGAGGCATCTCATCAATTTTGTGTGTCTCAAAATTGTCCCAGGCTATTGAGGACCTTTTAAAGACTAAATGCAGGAAAGTGAAACTGATCCTGCACAGCACAATTCCTCTCACATTCCTTTACCCAGAATCACTGGGTCATTAAAAAAACGCCCAACAACCATTTCATTTTGCTATAGTAACATAAATTGGCCATAAAAAGAAAGTCAGTTCTGAGACTAAATAAGCAAGTGTTGACATTTCAACAGGGTTTGACAAATGACCCGAAACTGTAAAACTCACAGCGCCAATCTTTTTTCCATTCCGCAATTTTGAAAAAGGTTCAGTTTTGGCATCTGTTCCTAATATCCATCCTGCTCAGCTACAGAACACAGAAGTGACTGGGCCCTCCGGTTCTCACACGCTTTGCTGCAATCTTTCTCAAGACTGCAACATTCTTCTGACAGAGGTGAAATATTTCACTCAGCGTTTTTCTCCCCAAAACCTGTCTGATGTTTCAACACCAAAAGTCCAAAGATTTACAAAGGTCTTTATCTGTGATATCTGAGATGTCAAAGGAGAAGAAACTGAACCCAATGGCACTTTGGTCAAGCTGAGTTATTGAATTGTTACTGGATTCAGTCTGAGCAAACGGCTCAGAGGTGTAAAAACTCAAAAAACATGCACTGGCACCCACATGTACATATTTCTTTTTCTCACACATAGTCACATAGCCCCTCTCTCTCTCTCCCTCTCCCTGTGGGAACAGCCCAGGCAGGGGCAGGCTGCCAGCTGGCTGGGTGACATGCTTTGAGGCTGAGGATGTTTTTTTAAGTCTGGAGTCTGGACTGTTTCTCTCCCTTTCTCTCGGCGGTCCCCAGGGGAGGGTCCTGGCACTGAACCCGAAACCGCTCCACACTCATGCTACACTTTGATCTGTCTTAGGTTCTACTGACACCACCTGGACAAAAGCAGCTAAGACACCCTGAGCACCCTGAATTACAGCATTATGCCACATACAAAATTACACCTTAAAGTAACAGTTCAGCCACAACCCCTCCACCCCTCCAACCCTCCCAGACGAAACCAGATGGCTAAAGTTTTTAACGCCTCTAAAATTACCCCTCAGCAAGTTATTACATGTATGAATATGACGCCTGATTATAGTTTTGAGAATGTTTTGGCCTAAAACATACATTTGTTTTTTAATCCATTCATGGTGGAGCGGTATGATCAAGGCGTTCCAAAGAAAAACTTTTTCCCAGATTTAGCACTATTTGACTACTAGTTCCCATCACCATCACTGTAAGGAAAGACGTTAAGTATCTCTACAATGTGCCATTTCACATCAAACCACCCTGAATGACTTTTGAATGATGCATACATTTTTCATAGGGAAATCCTCCTTTGAGTAATCTCCACTAGTCTTTATTACGTGGTTTCTAACACTGTATGACAGTGAAAGTATGTACTGCAGTTTCATCAATTTTAAAGCCTGAATTTTGTGAATGTTTACGTGTATGATTATTTCATCATACAACTTCTACAATATCAATTAGAGAGGTACACGCTTCTAATACTTGTTAACTACATTAGACTCTTCTCCTTTGTGAAACTAAAAAAAAGCAAACTTCAAACACTATACATGTCTTGCATAACTGACTATATTTGCGATTAGGGGGAAATGATGTAAATGAGATTTCTAAGTAAAGTACAGGGTTTATTTATCAACTGTGTTTACTCAATATTTTATGGGTTCTTTCACAAATCATAATGGGCCTCACTCACCAAACATTCTTAAGAATAAATTTCTTAAAACTCACTTATGCAGTTTTGACAAAGATTTTGACTTTCATCTGTGTTTTCTTACTTTGGATTTGTTCTTAGATAAGAACAGAATCTACACACACTCAAAAGCACAAAGGTGTGAACAATTCTGCGGTTTAAGAACACGTCATGAATCTGACGTAGACTTTTTCTTAGAACCTTTCTCAAGAACAAATTTTAGAAAAAACTTAGGAAGATATTGGTGAATGAGGCCGAACATTAGGCCAGACTTCTGCCTACTATAAGAGAGGGTGCAATTTACTGCTTAACATAGCGAAGAACCGCCTACTTTGACAGGAAAGGGCATTTGAGTGACATGCATCTGAGGCTGAGACTATTGAGTAATTTTTTGTAACAAAACATGTTTAATTACAGCTTTTTTATCACCTCTACATCAACATCTAAATTATGTAATGGCTCAAATGAGTCTCAATTGTTCTCATGATTTTAAATCATTTGAGTACTTGCCAACCAGGTAAGGTTTTGTTCTAAGACAGTACTGACAGGTATACAGGCAGTATGTAGTCTTTAGTAGTGTTATATATTGTTGTCTTTTAAATAGCTCCTAGAGCGAGGCCCAATGATACTAGGGTAAACCGACACAACAAATTTTCATTAACAAAAACAATGAGTTATTAGCCTAGAGTGCCCAGTCCTGGTCCCAGAGATTTTCTCATATTCAGATGCCTCTAAAGGCCTTCATTACTTGAATCAGGTGTGACAGATTTGGGTTGGAACTACACTCTGCAGGGTGGTAGATCACAGGACCAGGTTTGGGAATCCATGCTTTACGCAACAGGCCAGGGGTACACAACACTGGTCCTGGAAGGCCTGTATCCGGAAAGGTTGGAGGTTTCCCTATACTAACACACCGACTAAACCTAGCAATTAACAGATAAGTGTAATCAGGTGTGTCTGAATACGTAAATCACCAAACTGTGCTGCCACCAGCCCTTTAGGACCATGTGTACCCCTGCAAAAGGCTTATAACAGTGGTTCCCAACCCTCATCCTTAAGTAACCTCTGCTTAGCATATTGTAGTGTGTTCCCTGCTCTCAACACACCTGACTAATCTGTTATTTAGGAAGTCCTTCCTGATGTGTTTTAAAGCAGAAAAACGCAAAACAGTTTAAGACGGGCGCTCCAGGACCAGGGTAGACTAAAAAACTAAAAGCGTTCACTTATTACATTTCCTAAAAAATAACGTTTGCAATTAAATGAGCCTATTTCCCCCTTACTCATTCACAAGGAATACACTAGTAAGCAGCAGCGAGAAGTGGAATAAAAGTGTCTTAAAACGTCCCTTATCATCTGATGGCCCAGAATACATACACAGTTGCATGAATAAAAACTCGTTGTTGGTCGTTTTCTGTGGTAAATTAGTTTCAGTTTCGTACAGCTCTTGGTCAAAGCTTAACTGTGGGCAGCAAAAATCTGCATGGGTGATAAATGTGGGCTGAATAAAACAGAAGTAAACATGAAGTGACTTAGGCTGCAACGTCTCACTAATCACATACTCAACACTTCACGTTAACCTATCTGTCTAGACGAGGCTGAAGTCGACTCCTATCCGCCGGCTTCAGGTTCCCGTTCCACCTTAAATGGTGCAGCAGGTACATTCTGGCGTCAGACGCTACAATGATAACTGCTGCACTATTTAAGGTGGAACGGAAAAATTCGAACAAGAAGCTGACTTCAGCTTCGTTCTGTCTAGCAGGCGTTGTCTCGGTTACTAAATAAATACACTTTAGAACCTGGAAATGTGTCTGACATCAAATATCCATATATTTTGGTATAACTGTGAGTTATTGACTCTCTCACTACTTGGCCATGTACGTTTTTTGACTCGAACATGCAGCTAATTTGCTAACGTTGAGCTAAAACTAGCCAAGCTAATGACGCGGTAACATTCAGTTGTTTCAGTTAACAGCTGTGATAAGACGCCCGAATAAGCAACCGTCTGCGATTAAACCTTTTAAGTGGTTTTATTTCACCGAATTAGCAACTGTAGGGTTTAACTTACTGAGTTGTCTAACGCAGAATGGACATTTGAGTGAAGCGTGTTTCCGGGGGAGGAACCAAATAAACAAAGTTGGTTGTGTCCGACGGACGTTTGATGAAGTGACGCACGGTGGAGGCGTGAACAGAGCCGGTTTATGTTGTATCTGATGTGAATTTATTATTCATTAAACTTTTCACGTCAAGAAAGCTGTGTTCTCTAAAATTTGTTTTTGGCATCTCGTGATATGTAATTTTACAGCGCCACCCTTTGGCAGTGCAGTTTAATGATAAACGAGGCCCTTAGTTTGTCTTTCTTGTTGAAGGGGAACTCCATCCATTTTTCGAAATCTGCAAAATTAAATCATCTTTTACAAAATTGTCGAGATACTTACTGAATCAGATTTTTTTTTACAGAAAATGTTTATAGGAACCAGGAGTCGCTATGTCTACAACACAGATAGAGCCATTTTATTTACTATCCAAAACCACCAGTGAACCTACACATGTATGATTAGATTTTATACGTAATGTTGATGATGGTAAATAGTGTTAAACCTGAAAAACAATTTTCTTTGGGTTCTTTTTTGCCTCACAACCGATATGGAAATCTGATATAAGTAAATAGATTTCAAATATATAACACATATGAACGTACGGATTTCCCTTACTCACATATGGACATTATGTGACGTATATATGCAAACTGATTTGAAATTTTCAAATATGTGACATATATTTAAGTCATGTATTAACATATATAAACATGTATGTATAACATATTTAACAGGGGCTGTCAAATATTACTCATATATGCTAGCTGCGTGATATATACGTTTTTCTTATAAGCAGTCTGTACATAATGCTAGTGTTAATGTTAGTATAGATAGCTCCAGTGTTGGTGTAATTACTCAAAAAAATTTGAAAAATCCATTAAACTTACTAAATACTTTTCTCAAAATATAATTGGATTATATTACTTATTACTTCCTGGAAAAAGTAATCTCTCGACTCACTTTTTTCTACACACATACTCTGTACCAAATTATCTCCATAATGATAGATCATTTTGCTTTTTTAGAACAAGCAAAATGATGACATTCATATTTATCATGATAAATTGCCTCACGGTCTGTTTTTCTGAATTGATCTTGGTTATTGTCAATATTTAAAGACTGAAGAACTGTATATTTTATTATAAAGACAGCATCATTAGCCCTGTTTTTACTGGATTTAACACTGCAGTATGTGAAAAGTAGAATAAAAATCATTGTGTTCCTCATTTTTGATAGTATTTTTAAAAGTTGTCTTATTCTTGCCCAGTACTACTAAGCCCTTAAAGGCGGCATGGTTAAAAAAAAAGATGTTGCGTTGCCCCTGCGATTTTTAATTTTTCGTTGAAATACTTGTACGTGTTTTCTCGCAATAATTTTGCATTCCTTCACAAATGCAATGGATTTTGCAAGAGAACCCAAAACGTTTGCAAGGGAATGCAAAAATATTCCAAGGGAATGCAAAAATATTCCAAGGGAATGCAGTATCATACCAACCCTAGTTTAAATAGTTTTTCACTTTCATTTGCACTGTAAGGTAACAAGAGCATGGAGCCCTCCTGCCTGCAAAGTCACCCGAGATTTTTTTCCTTGATTAATTAATTCGAGATAATTATCTCTGGATAATTTTCTAAACGTCTTCTTTTTTGGCACGTAAGTTATTCTCAAAACACTTTGCATGCATCAACCTATCGCCATTAAGTTGTCCAGAAAGCTGTAGCTGCTCCTGAATAAAAAACCTTGGATATATTTCTGTAACCCTTCCTCCAAATAGTGTGTTGGATTTCAAAACACGCTTCAAACTGTGCTCTGATATAATATAACGATGTCTGTTGGCAAGCACTGAAACAGTGTCTTTGTGTTTGAGTTCAAAATAAAGTGCTATATAGTGGTCAATCATGGATATACAACTTCCAGCACCCCTGAAAAATGGGCCCGGGAGGAGTACTGAGTGGAATGCAGTCTGAATGGAGTATTATCTATCTACAGGGCGGAGTGGGTGAAGTTTTCCCTATGTCACGAGAAAATTATCTCGAGATAATTATCTACAGATAATTATTCCGACAACATTATCCCAAGATAATCTTGAGTAATTATCTTGATTATCTTGTGAATTATCTTGAGATAATTATCCTAAGAAAACTATTCAGAGATAAGTATCCCGAGATTTTAGGTTATTTCGCAGGCAGGAGGTTTTTTTTTTTTTACCCATTATAGAATATAATGAGTATGTACAGTATGTGTGAGGATGAGAGAGAGAGAGAGACCGAGAGAGAGAGAGAGAACTGTAGCGAGCAGCTAGTGTGCGCGTGTGCAAGTGTTTCAGTGTACTTCACCCTAAACGGCCCCCCATAAGCAGTTGCTGAGTTGGTGCTCATGCTGTGAAGCCCCGAACATGCCCGCTTTTGCCTGCTTCCCGAGTTAACCCGCCCTCTGTCTACACAGCGACTCAGGCCAAACCCTTTCACCGCGGACAGGCGCTGCTTGGCGGACTCGGATGAGAAACTGAGCCGCGATGGAGTGGGTCATGTCTCCGGCGGAGGAGCAGAGCCGCGCAAACGACAACCCAAATCTCTCTACGCACTCACAACAACTACACGAGGTATGCGGTCAACGTTAGTGAGCTGTGAACTTCAGTTTAAGACTTTCTTCTGACATGACATTTTAACGCTCAAATTTCGTAACTTTAACCTCTCACTGTTACTTAATAATGATCATTTAATAAACACTGTCCAGCGTTTTTGAAGTAAACAATTAGCCAGCTAGCTGGCTAGCGATAAGTTAGCTAACTCCCCAAACGAAGCAAACTATGTAACGTTAGCGAGCAGGCTAGCTAAATAAAGTTAGCTTGCTTTAAGTTTAAACAGAGAAAGACAGATTTGGTTAAACTTGTAGCTAAATTCGCTTTCCGAGCTACTCACCAGTGCCACTCTCGAATAGCAAAAAACCTGGATTCTGGTGTTGTTTCATTTTATCGTAGGGAGTTACAAAGCTGAAGTAAGCCGCCTGTTCGAATTTTCCCGTTCCACCTTAAAATGAAGCAGCTGTTTATCATAACGCCTCAAATGCCAGAATGTAACTTCTGCGCCATTTAAGGTGGAACGGAATTCGAATAAGAAGCCAAGTTCAGCCTCATGAACCTGCTATGCAATACTTGAATTTTGTTAAGACTGCTGGGATTTTTATCCGCCAGATGCTTATATTACTTTCCCGTTCCACCTTAAATGGCGCAGCAGTTAGCAAGTGTACATTCTGCCTTGCAGTAGCTATACTGTCCTGCAATTGCTATACCATTTAAGGTGGAATGGGAAATAAATAGTAAGCTAAGTTCAGCTAGCCACAGCTCAGTTGAACGTAAGTCAGCTTTCAGGTGGATTTAACAACAACTAAAAAAAACTGTCGTGAAATATATCCGAGTGATGACCTTCCACTACCTCGCCTCTCTGTCCCAGTGAGAATCAGGCTGTTCGACATCTAACATGAAGTCACCGACTATTGTTAAGTGCGATATGATCATTTTTGCATTCCCGGTAAGCGTTTTGCTGTGGGTATTATTAGACCCGCCGGTGTTCAGGGACTGCTGGCATTTGCTGTTGATTTGAGTAACCCAACAGTAACAGGTTTAAATTCATTTCCAGCAGTGTCTCAGCCGTTTGTCATCCTGAAGAGGAAATAGCCTCCAACATCATGATCTATTTTCCGCCCAGTATCACAGTTACAGTATGGGAGGTTGTCATGCACAGGCATGTGTATGATGATGTAGTGCTTTGGGCCTTGCTTGTTTATTAATGGGTGTTAACAGATCAATAGAGTACTTTATGGACAGCAGTGAGGTACACAAATGCCCGTTATACTGGAGGCCTTTAAAGGAATACCTCACTCATAAATCTAATTTATGCTACTGCCCACCTTGTAGCAAACAGTCGACTTGCTAAGACAAGTTTGGTATTCAAAATTCCCTTCAGTTCTGCAGTACAAGGCCAATGTAGCTAACTAGTAGTTATGTAAGTTTATGCCACCCAATTGTTTTTACTATATTACCCCTGTAGTTTCGTAAACTTTGGACACCAAATATGTCTTGGTTGATAGATTATACTTGAGGTAAGGCTGTGAATTTGTTTTTTCTGCTGAATCATTCCTTTAATTATGGTGCATTAATAGCCATAAAAAGGAATTTGCTAAGTAATTTTTGTCTGCATTATACTTGTAGCAAGTCATCAGCTTTTTTCAAGCTTACATATTTACGTGCTTTATGTGTTAAGTAAGACTGTCATGCCATCATGAGTAAAGGGTCTTTTGTCTATTAAACTACCACTTAAAAATGATATTTATGTTGTTGGTTGTTCAATTCTACTTGCATAATTAAGAATGCCCTCTGTCTCTCTGTGCATCTGTCTGTCTCGCCTCTCACAGGCCAGTGCAGAGAGCATGGCATCTCTCTGCGAGAGCCAGCAGCGGTGTGTGAAGGCCTCTATCGTGTCCAGCTGGCAGCTGGTGGAGGCGCAGGACCAGCTGTGTGGTCTAGAGCTGCATGGCTCTGAGTCAGCCGAACAGGCCCGAGCCCGGGCCTTGGCCTCCTCCACACACCTGTCTCAGACTGAGGAGGAGTGGAGGAGGAAGGAAAGCATGCTGGGAGGCCTGGAGTCTCGATGGAGCCCTGTGCCTGGGGCAGAGACTGGTCACAGTGGATTCGACAAGGTAGGCTGTTTAGCACGCCAGTAATGTGGTAGTTACTTATGCACAGTCAGGTCAGTTGTATTAATCATGCTTTTTATATATACAGTTATATGTATTACATAACAATAGTCTGTATCAATGTTTCTTAATCCCTTTCCTGGTGGCCCACAGCACTCCATAGTTTGTTATTAACCAGCCCAACACACCTGATCCAACACATAAAGGGCTCCATAATCAGTTGATGAGCTGGATTACGTTAGTAGTCAAGGAATGCCTGAAACCAGGCAGTGCTGTTGGCTGCCAGGAGCAGAATTAAGAATCATTGGTCCACATGATTTCTTTGTGCCTGTGGCGTATTTAATGAGTGTAGTAATTACTAGCAGGTTACTAATGTTTTTTTGTGCTTTCTAGAGTATCATAAGCGATTCCCAATCAAAGGGGAATGAACCAGATTATGACAAGAGTTTAACATTCGTCCAGCGTCATGAGCAACACCTGAAACATTTTGGTAAGCAACTTGATTTCATCTCCAGTAAGGCTTTAAAATGAGAGTCATCACAAACTTTTTATTTTAATAGTTTTTCTTGACATTAAATATATTTTTATTTCTTATATAGGTGTACATTTTGTTAACCTTTTAGGATTTAAAGCTTTTTTCTGATTCAGTGCTCTTTTCTCTGGTTCTGTTGGCAGGCATGCTGCGGAGATGGGACGATAGTCAGCGTTTTCTAGCGCAGTTTCCCCACCTCATCTGTGAGGAAACGGCCAACTACCTGATTTTATGGTGCTTCCGCCTTCATGCTGAAAAAGTAAGATGATGTGTCTGCCCACTCTTATTCTCTCACACCAGCATTAGATGCACTACAGCATTGATGAAAATGACCACAAATTGCTGTCAGATTAAGCAGCGAATAGTTACTATAGCAACACACGGCTGCAAGCCTTTTCACTAAGTGACCAGCTATTTATTTATTTATTTATTTAATCATTCATTTATTCACATGTACAGACCAGTTCTTTCAAATTCTCAATATTTCACTAAACTACTGGTTCAGCAATCATGGTTTTCTGATTGGTGGGGAGGCTCTACAGCTTATTAAATCCAAGAATTTGAGGGTGTGAAGTCCACTTAGGCCACAAAATTTAATCCCAGATGCTTATGAAAGGTCAGAATACACTGTACAAACAGGTACAGTTTGAGTCAAAGTGCTAAGCTACCCCTGCCAACACAGGTGTTGCTGTGGCTTGAAGTTGTGTTTTCTGACTGATTCTCTCTACCACAGAAAGAGGCTCTGATGGAGCAGGTGGCTCACCAGGCCGTTGCCATGCAATTTATCCTGGAGATGGCCCGCAATGTGCAGCAGGACCCACGTGGCTGCTTCCGTCAGTTCTTCCAGAAAGCCAAAGTAAGAGCCGGTCACCGCTGCTGCAGCTACACTGCGCTATTCACAAAACTGCTGCTGCAGCCACACTGTGCAGCACGCAAGACTTCTGCTGTAACCACATCAGTACGCAGTGTATATACAGCATACAGTGACCACTGTGAATGCTGCATCAGTGTACAGTCTAATTTAATGTTTAATTTAAATGTTTACTTGTGTCTTAATATGACTAAAATCTGACAGTACTATGTCTGATTTCATCTTCTCAGTATGAGCAAGTTTTGTGTTTTTGAGTTATTGTGGTATTGCTACACCTCGCCAGTTTTACTGCTGCAATGGTGACTTTACAGTCAGAACACTCTCTAGAATAACATGATCATTTTACCTTCCTGTATTAATAAACTTAAAGCTGTTTTATCTGTCCCTGGTTGAAAATGTATCTGACAAACTGCTGGTAATTACACTGCCTAAGGTTTGTCCTCTAAGAATGGTTGCAGTGTATTGTAATGAGGCCAGCTGACCACTAGATGGAGATGTAACAGAGTTAAATCTGCCATCGCATTGGTTATTGTTTTCTACAACCTAAATACTTTTGTTTGGTATTACCAAAGAAATAATTGCAGAAATGGCTAAAAATTAATGAAAGCTAAAGTTACCGCCTTTTTTATCTTCCAGGCAGGGCAGGAGGGATATTTGGACGTCTTCCACACTGAGCTTGAGGCCTTCAAACAGAGAGTGAGGGAGTATGCAGTGAAGTCTAAACTGGACACCCCAAAAGCTCCTGAGCAGCACTACACTCCGTCCAGCTGCCGCCTGGACCCCAAAGAGGTTCTGGAGTCTCTGCCTCCTGTAAGTTCCTATTTTAACCAAACATCCAGTTCAGCGATGCACCAAAAGGGAAATTCAGGGCCAGCGAATAGTTACAGATTGCAGTGGACTGCACTCATCCAGATTTGGTGCCTGGAATATGCTTGCTATGACCACGTGTCCGAGCGGCCAGGAGACCTGTCTGGCAGCTGATGTGGTGGACACCAGTTCTCAGACATGGAAATCCATTTTTTACTTCTGCAGTACTGATATTATCATGCATACCCAGTTAAGTTACTGCATTTTAATACTTTTGGACTAGATTAAAACTGAGCACTGTAAAAACAATCCAATCCAACTGGCTAATTTTATTTACTTTTGAACTTTTGACCATGTAGGAGCTGAAGGCGTGTATCCAGTCGCAAGACATGCACATTCTCCAGAACGTTCTTAGCACCATGAATCCACAGGTACTGACAGTTTTACACTTTGCAGCTAGTGCATCATCAGTTCTAACCTCATCAGTACTGTAGGTTTGAACTATCCTTTTCAGTAATAAGTAGATTTCTTTATTAAAACTGGTCAGATATTCAGGCTGTGTTCTATTTAGGCCTGTCACAGTCATTAAATAGCTATCTATTAACAGTCATTAGATAATTATGATTAACTGTTTAACTTTTTGTTGTTCATTTTATGCCACTCTTACAGTATAAGCCTAATCATAGTGTAATAGCAGACAGACCTTATGATAAAAAAGAACCTTTTTGCAGATTATCAAAATATATCATGTACTATATTCCTGCATAGGCTTTCATTACTTATTAGCCACATTAGCCTCATAGTTCCAGGGCAAAAGTAAAAAAGCAAATGTTACACTTAATTTTCATTCTGTTTTTTTATTTTTTTTTTCCCCTCTCAGAATAAATATATTTTGGTAGTTCTAACTACTGTGGAAAATTACTGGGGTCCACCTTTTGAGTTGACTGTCCAAAAAACACAACATCTCCAAAATGGCAACTTTATAGAAGTCAAAAACATTATTTAACTTTAATGTACATTTAATGTAACTTGGCATTATTCCAAGTCATTTTGTAGCGTTTTTATTGGTCTGTTTATCATAAAATGTTCACATAATGCAAAAAGCAGCTGCTGTGATTAAATGGTATAGTATATAAATAGAATATATATATTGTTATGTGAAATACAAATAGAACTGAGTAATAGAACTGAAATGGTAGTCAGATAGGTTGGTGAGGTGACTGAAGCAAAAACTGGAAATGTGACCATTCCACACAGTACAGATAAATGCATAATCTTATCGCTGAGGTTGAAGAGCTAAGACCAGTTTCCTGGCATGCTTCCATACTTCCATGTGAACTACTTTGTGTGTTACTGTGTGTGCTGTCCAGTATATACATGTTGTTTAAGTTGTTTTGAATCTTGTGCTGAAAGAACGTAAATGCAGTGTAAAAGAATAGGTCACTAAATGGTTAAAGGTAAAATCCTAAGTTGTTTCAAGGTTCCAGCTCACTGCCTTCAACAGGAAGGAGAGAGTTTGCAGACAAACACGTCTGGTCCTGAAAATTACAGCCTGTCTGTTCTGCCCTGAAGCAAACTCTTCCCTGCACTGATATGATATTGAGCTGGGATCTTTAAAAGCCATTGAGGACAGGAGACCTGCACAGGAAGGGTTACGTAACCACCCTAATCTGCTTAAAAAGAGCATAAATCTGTGTACAGTCTGATCTCTACTTCAGCTTCTCTCTGCCTCAGCTATGTTTTTGCATGTATACATCACTAAAGAGCATTTAAGCAATGTTTTAAAACTCTCAAAAGTACATCTACATTTTAGTATGTCTGGGATTTACCAATATATATCTCTCTCTTTCTCTGCGTCTCTATTGCTTTCTCTTTTGCTCTTCCACTAGGTGGCAGAGTATCATATAAAGCGGTGCTTGGAGGCGGGGCTATGGACGCATATTGGAAGAGGCCCAAAAGAGGAGGGCTCAGAAACAGAAGAGTTCAGAATGATGGAGCTTTCCTAGCATGCCTGGCTTATACACTAAACCTTTCTCTCTTTGGCTGTGTTCAGGCTTTGGACTGCATTAAGGTGACACTGCTGAGTTTGATGCAGTCTCCAGCAGAAGCTACATTCTAACAGGTCATCAAATCTGGACCTTGAATCCAGTTTCTGGTCCTGAATTTTGTAACCAGTTTTGTAACCAACTGATGGGCCACCTAGTGTCATGACTACTACAAACGAAAGAACTGGAAAGTGGATTCAAGGTCCAAATTTGAAGACCTCTACAGTGTGTATTCTCCTGCTAAATGTTGCTCGAAGATCAGCAGTCTCCTTGTGATGGATCAGATGTTAGAATTTGGCCTCATTTTCCTTGTTTGGAAGTTTACATCCTAGGAGAACAACAGAGAAGAAGATGGAGGAAAACAAAAAAGGGCTGCGCTCAGAGACTTTTGGGGGATTTTTCTTTGTTTTTTTGTTTTTGTCTCACGCCTGAATGTGTGCTGCACTTTATATTTGTTTATGATAAAAAGGATATATAGAAAAAAGAACAAAGACAGGAAGAGGTATTTTTTTGGTGCGCATTTTGTTACATTTCTGTTGACACAAGCACTGATGGGAAGTTTTACTTCTTTTTTTCTTCATTTTTCTAATCATGCTTTGTGTCACTCTCTATCAGTAAGCATGAGGATGTTAAAGGCAAGTTTCAGCACCAAGCAAAGCGGATTGGAGGGAGACAGAGGCTCAGACACTGTCTGGGGGGGGGAGGCCTCTGCTTCCCTTGCGAGCCTAAACTTTTCAACTTGACTTTTTTAAACCACAGTTCCAAAACAAAACACTGTGTCTGAACTGATTCTCCTTTTGACGTATAACATAGTACATGGTGTATAAATGTCATTAATCAGCTCCTGAAGTGTTTCATCAAGGGAACATCTGGGCTAGATTCAGAGAGTCAAATTGAATTGATATCTGATATTAGTGATGCACCAACACCGGAGCCAATACTGTCACTTAAATACAGTATCGTTATCGGCATTGACAATAGAGACTACTGATACCATTAAGCAGTTTCTGATAAGCACATGCACTAATGTATAGCAGTATTGAACAAATAAGTACAGATAACACAATGTACAAACAGCGCAAGACACACATTATTTCATTTAGCTGAACAGCTGAGTAAGGGTTCTTTCAGGAATCATTTGTCTTCTGCTGTGTAGTCACTTGCAGTCTGAGTTAATGTTAGTCTGTTTTTTTTATTAAGGGAGTGAACGTTAGAGAGATAAGGAATGAACTACCAGTATCCCGGAATAACAGTAGCCTTTAGCCAAGGACAGAGGTGTCCAGAGTCCAGTCCCAGCAAATGCGTGTGCTTTATATGTCAAGAGACTGTAATAAAGTTAATATCAATAGATGTGAAACAAAGCATGGACGTTCCAATATATATAGAAGAGGGCAGAGAAACTAAAGCACCTGCAAGCTACCACGGTCTCACAGCACCAGGTTTTTTATCAGAACATATCCAGTAGTTCTGTAAATTTTATCCCTTTAAGGACAAATAATAGCGTGGCTGTTTATGCTTTTCAATCTGGTTTTCTCCTTAAATAAAGTGATTTCTGAATGCTGTAGCTGCATTCGTTTGATATGTAGAAAACATTGTCTAACAAAGCCAAAAATATATAGATTATATAAAATTATGTATTATAGTTTTGAACAAGTAAACACCTAAATAGGAATATTATTGTTACTCTTAATTATTTGTTAGTAGCACTTACCAATCCAAATTGCTCTGTGTAATCCACCAATAAAAGAAGCCTGGTGCTCGCATCAAGCCAAGGATCCATGGCTTAACAGCTACTGATAGCATGAATGACTAATATTTACCAAATTCCAACAGTGTGTAATGCTCATAGTTGTAAGTACAAGTGTATAGGACGTACTGGATTTAAGAAATTTGGACAGGAAACAACCTTTAGCATTGTTTTTGCTGGGCCCCTTAGAAAAATGGGTTTTCTTAAGCAAATAAAATGGTTTAGTTGAAAAAGAAATAGATAAATATATATATTATACATGTACATATGATTTGTATAAGCTCAGTATGTTCTGTTTGTGACACGGAACACTGCTTTTACCAAAATAAAGTATTTAAAAAACTGAAGGGTATAAATGTCAGGATCTTAAGGCACTTACCAAGTAGTTAGGTTAGATAGAGTGAGAACTGCTTTGTATAGGCAGATACTTAAAGGATCAGGTATTGTTATCGGTATTGGTGCATCACTATCTGAAATCCTCTTGACATTAGACACAGCATGTCTAAACCTACCGTAAATGTCAAGCAAGGATCTGTTTCAGATGTCACCACATCATCCAAGGGTGTTAGTTTGCAGTGATCCCACATTTAATTCTAGCTGCTGTGTAGGCCTCAGCCCAGGCCTAAAACCGCTGAGTCATTGCAGAGCATGAACTGAGTTGATTACAGTTTCTGATCTCACTTGTGCAGAAACAACATACTCATTATCTATTCCATGCTAAAGGTGCAGGAAGAAAACTCCCTACACGCTTAAAAAAGATGGTTCTTCCAGGGTTTTTTAGTAAAGAAAATGGTTATATATAGAACCATGAACACTCCAAGAATTCTTTGCGTGATTAAAGGGTTCTTTGCATCATGAAAGGGTGCTTAAGAATGTGCTTTTTAAAAAGGGTTCTAAATAGCACCCAAAAAGGTTCTTCTATTATGATGTCAGGCACATTCTCCATCAATCTGAAGAACCCTTGTATTATGCAGAGGGTTCTCTGAGTATTCATAGTTCTTTATAGAACCTTTTGCTTTATTAAAAGAACCCTTGAAGAACCATCCTTTTTAAGAGTGAAGTTGGTGTATACTTTACAGCATACTTTGTTCAGCATTAGAACCATGATTTTAGACCTATGCAAATCAGAGCCATGGGCCAGTGCACAGCGTTATAAACACCAGCCATTTTAGGAAGCATTTAACATTGACCATTAATTCCAGCAAAATGGACCACCTTCTCCACCATTTCACAGTACGCTGTCTGCCACAGATCCAGGACCTTACACCTGAAGAACAGCATGAATGCTTCATCACAGTTCAAAACATGCCGAGAACGTTTGCGTTCATGCTAACACAGGAAACAGAAAGTCATGCAGGAAACTAGTCAAGCAGGACTGAAAATAACAGTTTCCTCCTGCTTCTTTCTGACCTTTTGTCACCTTGGATTGTCTGGCAAGCAACCTTCAGACTGCAAGACTGTGCTACTTGGTTGTCATTATTCTTGCCAAACAATAAAGATTTCATTTTTATTTAAGAGCTGTAGATTTGAGCTTTGACCCAGAGGATGTTGACCGCAGAATGCATTCTTATTTAGCAGTTACAGCTACTGTTGGTGTTGTAGCGCAATTAAAGAATGAAGTAACAGTGATGAGTTGTATCTCAAATGGCTCCCTACTCCCTATTTCAGAGGTCTTTGAGTTTAGACCTTGAATCCAGTCAGTCCGGTCTTGAATTTTGTAATCATTGGTAGTTAACGGAACTCTTGACATAACTGATTGGCCACCCTCTGTCATACCTACCAGTAATTAAAAAATCCAGGTGCTGACACTGGATTTAAGGTCCAGATAAAAGACTTCTGCCCCGTATGGTGCACTCCATAGGTCACTTTTTCAAACCTGGTTCTGGAGGCCCACTGCCATACACTTTGTAGTGTTTTCCTTGCTCCCAACACACATGATCCAACTAATCAGCTCGTTATCAGCCCATGATTGAGTTGAAGCTGCTGTGTTAAGGCAGGCAATGCACTAAAATGTGCAGGACAGTGGGCCTTCAGGACCAGGGTTGAGAAACACTGCAATATGTCATGAAATGATTCAGCAACTCCTTTCTGTCCACTGTGGAGCCTTTTGGGATTCAGCTGTTGCCTTAAATTGAAGAGCAGTGTAATTTCTGTAAGGACTGCTACTTTAAGAAATCCCAGTCTTGTGGACAGTGCCGCATAATATTCTTAGGCCTTGGTAATTAGTTGATTTGGATGAGGTGTGAGTTGCCTAAGTTAAAAGTATTTTTTTAAACATTTTTTGCTTAATTTAGTCCATAAGATGTAAGCAAAGTCATTCTGAGTGGTTTGGTGCAAAGTGGTGCATTGTGAAGAAATCTACCAAGTCAAAAAGGTGGTGGTGACAGAAACCAAGGGCCATATTATAGAAACTTCAGCCCTAAGATAAGATCTGACAAGGTCAAGATAAAAAAAAATCATACTACAGAAGCAAATCCTATGTTTATTTAGGTTTTATATGTTGTTTTACAGCGTCGTCCCTCATATTAGGAAATCCTAAGCAACTCAGTGGCGGTCAAGATCAATTGTGATGTCTATTACCAAGTGATCGATGATATAACTGAGACATCAAAAAACATCAAAGTAAACAAAAACGTTAGTTATAGTATAGAAAGCTACTGTGTGCAAAAAGTGGGTAAACAAAACTGAAGTGCAATGAATTGGAAGTTGCATAGTAGCCTTGATTGTGACTGTGCCCCCTGCACCCATTTCATTTTGCTTCCATTTAAAGGGCCATATCATGGGCAACTGAATTTTCCTCACAGTTTAGGAATAAAGAGTTTGTAGTATGTAAACATTGTTAAAGTTCCAAAATGTACAGATCATCAACCCATACATGAAAACTAAGCTGCAAAAAAGCCTGTGCTGAGGTTTTCATGATGTCATGAAAACCAACACGTTTATATGAATATATTCAGCCCACAGCAGTTTAGCCCACCCACTCACAATAAAGTTATAAGGAGTGTTCCAGTCCAGATTGCTTTTTGAACAAGACAAAATACAGGGCAGCCAGTCATATCAGAAGCTCTTTTATCAGCCTTAAATGCACAACAGAGACAGCCTGTTTAATCCTAGGTGATAAAGAGAGGTTGGAAAATAGACATGTAAAAATGAATTATGACTGTTTTTTGTACATAGAACCACTCAAATATCATCACTCATGGCAGGGATTTTTTAACTGCAGAGTTTAAAAAAATCACTCAATTGAGTGTAATTACTTCTGTAATACTATTTTCTAACCAGAAGTTAAGATAATAAACTTATGAAATGTTCTGTAATGGCTACTGTAATAACTTCAATACTAACGCAAGTTGTCATGGTGAAGAAAGAAATAAGATTTCAGAGTTAGGATGTTTCTGTAGCACAGCTTTAGACATTTGGGTCTGTATTGACAAAGCTTTTTAGAGTAGGAGTGTTGATTTAGGATCAGATTCCTCTCTTATTTACTTTGACTTTACTCACTGGAACAGATCCTACGAACACAATTCCAAAAAAGTTGGGACAGTATGTGAAATGTAAATAAAAACAGAAAGCAGTGATTAGGAAATCCACTTAGTCCTGCATTTAAAGGAAAGTAGTACAGAAACAAGATGTTTTAATTCATATCAACTTCATTGTTTTTTTGTAAACACATTCTGAAACTGATGTCTGCAAAATGTTCCACAAAAGTTAGGGCACTTTAAGACTAGAAAGACTAGTATTGTTAAATGTTCAGGAATCATCTTAAAAGAGGTGATGTAATCATGCTTGGATATAAAAAGAGCATCCAGGAAATGCAGAGTCCTTTATAAGCAAACATGGTTGAGTCTCATCACTTTGCCAAAAAATGCATCAACAAATAGTTCAGCTCAACAAGCGTTTGAAAGGAGTTTAAGTGTTTCATTCTCTTCAGTGCATAATAACATGAAAAGATTCAGGGAATCTGGAGAAATCTCTGTGCACAAAGGGCACGGCCAAAAACCACAACTAAATGCCTGTGACTTTCAATCCCTCAGACAGCACTGCATTAAACCCCTCCATGCTTTGGTAATGAATATCACCATATAGGCATGGGAATACTTTGACAAACTGTTATCCATAAACACTGTTCATCACTCCATCCACAAATGCATCCATTCATCCATCTTCTGCACAGCGGAATCAATATGTCAAGACTGTCCAGAAACGCTGCCGACCTCTCTGGGCATGAGCTCATCTGAAATTGACTGATGCACAGTGGAAACGTTTATTATGGTCTGATGTGTCAACCTTTCAGATTTATGTATATGGAAATTATGGACATCGTGTTATCTGGAACAAAGAAGTACGAATCCTCCAGATTGTTACCAGCTTAAAGTTCAAAAGTCAGGCTCTGTCTTGGTATGGGGGAGTATTACAGCCAATGGCATGAGCAAAGTTCACATCTGTGAAAGCATCATTAACACTGAAAGACCTACACACATTTCCGAGCAACACTTGCTGCATTTTAGACGCCGTCATTTTCAGGGACATCCATGCTTATTTGAACGTAACAACACCAAGAAACCTTCTGCATGTTACAACAGCAAGACTGTAATCAGAGAAAATGTGTTGTGCATTATGAAGTGCAAAATACGACCACAAAGGCCTTTAAGACTTGCTTAAGACTTGTATAACTGAAGAATGGCAAAAAAAATCCACTTTCAAAACTAGATTAGTTGGTGTATTCAGTCACCAAATGTTTATTAAGTGCTGTTAAAGGTAAAAAAAGTGATGTAACACAGTGGTTAACGTGCTCCTGTTTCAACTTTCTTGGAGCGCATTAGGCATTATATTTGGAATGAGTGCATATTTACAAAAAACAACAAAGCTCATAAGGTTAAACAACAAATATTATGATTTCAAACTATTATAAATTTTATACAGGTCAAACAGAACTTGTGAATCACTGCTTTCTGTTTTTACAGGCATTTCACCTACTGTTTCAACTTTTTGGGAATTGAGTTTGTAGATTAGCACCTCTATCTGAAACGCCTTGTCAGTATGGGCCCTAAAGAGTTTAATGCCTCTCAAAGCTACTTCACAGAAAGCTGTTACATGATTGGTTATAAACACATTGCCTGATGCCTGAGACATTGTTTTATGCTAGCTGTGCAAATAGGTATTGGCCTAAAGCACGTGTCAGTCTCCTCATGGGCCAAAACACTGCAGACGTCAGCACGCTGCCTCATTAGACACACCTGATTCAGCTCATCAGCTAATTAGCAAGGCCTTCACAAACTGAATTCAGAGTGTTAGATGAGGGTGAACACTAATCTCCATAGCACTTTGGCCTGGAAGGTCCCCAGTTTGCCTGGCCTAAAGCATGTTTTTGCAATACATGCAGATATTTCAGATTTACCTCTATTTTGCTGTTATCAAGGTAACATGTAAAACAGCAAAAGACACTTGTATACTGGTGATCTTGGATAATAAATAAAATGACTGTATTTGTGTTGTAGACATTACGACCGCAGGTTCCCATCACCACCACTGTAAAGAAAATCTCAGTCAGTACGTTTCTCTACAATGAATTATTTCATGTCAAACCACTCTGAATGACTTGTTTATGTATCAATGACTAGATTGTTTTAAAAAATACATGTTGAAATTCTTCAGTGTTGGCCAGTGTCTTCCAACTTTAGTCACAGGGGGCTTCCAGTATTTTTCATTTTTCTTCCCCCTGCTTTTATACATCTGGGCCCTTATTCACAAAGCCTCTTAGATTAAAGGTTCTGATCTAGGATCTGTTCCTGTAAGTAAAGCTATAGTAAATAAGAGGAGTCTGATCCTAGATCAGCGCTCCTACCCTTAGAAGGGCCCTGATGTCATTGAAGGTTTGATAATTACTAAACAAAATGACTCGTTGCAGCAGGCAAAACATGAAACTCTCCAGTGCAGGGGGTTTCAGGACTGAGGATGGGACTCACCATTGCATCCTCGCAATTGCAAACTACATGTGGACCAATTTCCCAGATCCAGATTAACCCTAAATTTAGACAATAGAATTTATAAAGGTAGAGCACATTGCAGTTTAGCAGAAGATTAGGCTTAACCAGGAAATCAGCCCTTTAAATGTTGAGTTGTGTTTCTGTAACTGTACTGGAGTGCAGTCATTTAGCTGGACAGTGGTGGTTTTAACAGCTGAGTCATAGTGAGTGATTGCTGCTGGCTTTAATCTGGATAAGAGGCTAAAATTAACTTTCAGGTGAAAAGCTTTCCAAAACAGTTCTGTTTCTTTTTTTCTAATAAAAGACTAAAAAGAGGTAATTGTCCTTTAAAGGCAGAGATAATGTTGTAGAAATTTATCAGGTACAAATCAAAAATGCATGCAGTTTGCAATCAGAGGAATGATCTACATAGACACGCTTTTACTACATACTATTTAAACATGCTTTCTTTTTATTTTTTTCAGTCAACACAGTAACATGGAATCAGTAATAAATGTCAATGATATTTCTAAAAAAGTTGACTTTTTATTGAAAATAACATGATGATCAGGAAAAAAACCATCATTACCCTTATTATCCGTTCTAAAAATAGACATTCTAAAAATGTTTGTGCAAATCATTTAAAAAGTGAAGGGGAGTTCAATTTAGTCTTAGACAGAATTCTCTCAGAATGAATAGATTTGGCATCATTTTGCCAATACAGGAGTGGTTTCACCTAAGGCTACTCTGTGAGGAACACTGTTAGCTAAAATTATGAAAAATACAATCCTGTAATAATTAAAGTATGGGTAGATATGGCTCCCAAGCAAAACCAGGAAATACTGTAACATCATTCAGTCAGTGGTGTTATAAACTGTGTCATGGCCCATTTTGAGCAGAGTTTGTTTTAATAGAAGCATCCCCCCCAGACCACCATCCATTATGAAACAATAAACCCTCTTTGACACATTTCCAGTCTGGTTCTCAAACTGTGCAACATAAGTGTGCGCTCACTGATTATAATTGTTTTCCAATGGCAGGAAACTGTTGCATTATTGACAGCGGCTAGTGTTGAATAGAAGAACATGCTCTAAAACTCAAACTCACATTAATGCATTTTAAATTCATAATGAACAAAAATAATGTAAAAATCATAATACTTTAAAAATGATTTAGCTTAAATCTATTAGTGCATGGCTTAGCAGTACAGAATTACATTCTACAATCTCTTACTATTAAAACTGACATAATACCGATTTCAAAGATAAAGAAATTCCCCCCAAGACTCTAAAATCACTAGTCTAAAAATCACCCTGTAGCCCCTGTTTAATCTATCACACCTAAGGGAGGAGGTGCTAAGGCAATATGTGAAAGAGTATAACTCTTTTTAAGACAGAGTGCAAAATGCAGGACTACAGCGGATTCCCTTCCTCTGCACAGTGATTCTCGTGAGTATAATCGCCGACATAAAAACATTGGTCAACTAAAGTAGCAGGAAATGGAAAAACTGAAGCTCAAATTCCACAGGTTAAGCTGCAGTCGCACAGTTTGGCCAATTGTACCCTTTCTCAAGAAGGCTTATGCAAAGCCAGACACAGACTGAAGGCTCTTATGTAGTACTTTAGTGGTCTTTGTCCACAAATAAGGCTCTTTGCAGTAGTCGGCACTTTGTGCTTTGGACGTCATTCTTCATGGCCATTGTAAGCAGGCTGGTTTCTACTGCTTCAAGTGTCAGAGGTGATGTGATCTAAACCTGTCCCCTGGCCTCCTGAGTGTGTGGGAGCTTCTTGGAGAGGAAGGCATGAATGTGCGGCCATATCTTGTTGGTTTCAGTCCCAGTGAAAGTTTCCAACACTCCTTTACTCCTGTTAAATTAATTGCAAAGTATATATTATATTAATTATTTAAGCAACAAGCCACAGGAGACACATTAGTGATTTCACCACGGTTGAGGGGTGTTGTTATGGAGCATGAAACAGTCGTGAGTGGTTTGTTGCTTTCATAAAAGCAACAAGACACGATATGATAAAATATACCGATGTTCAATCTTTTTCATTAATAACAATCACAAGTATAAATTCTTCCTTGAGGAAATGTAGTCACTGACGTAGTAGGTTGTGGCTGCCAAGATAATTCCACAAGCAGCACCATTTTTTTAATTACTTGCTAAATTAATATAGAATTCAATAATGTTTGGTCATTTTGTAAAATTGGTTAAATCTGTGTTCAAACGTCAGTGTGGGCAATACGATGATCTTCATCATTATGGTGATATATTACACTGCATTACATCACATTATGCTGTTCTGACCGTACCAAAGATATCGTCAGTACTTAAAAAACACTCCCCAACGACAAAGAGAGCATAATTCTGCCTGTTTGATTTAATGTAGAGCAGTATGTGAAACACTGAAATGAAAATGATTGTACTGTGAAGGCAGAGATTGGCCGGGCTGCTAGCTGAGAGACTTTTTACCACAAAGGCAGAGTTTGGCTGGGCCATGGGCCAGGTGACTTTTCACCGCTAACATGGAGTTTGGCTGGGTCGGGGGCCGCTAGATTTTTCACCGCAAATGTGGCGTCTGTCGGGGCTTCAAACCAACAGTAAACAAAAAACAACAGCAAACAAAACACACACACACACACACACACACACACACACACACACACACACACACACAGTCCTAGCTGGCAAGAAGAAAACTCCACCGACCATGTGGCCCAGTCAGACTCCACCTTCACAGTGAAAAGTCTCCCAGGCTAAGGCCCAGTCAGACTCCTTAAGTCTGACCAATACTCTGACTCTGACCAATATTGTAATTGTGATTTAAATGCAACTTCTTCTATAAAGCAATATCCAGGCCTTATTTTTTTATTAAGAAGACCCTCACAGTCATTTTTGTTAGACTTAAGGATTGAACACTGAATGTCGTACGCCAGAATGCCAGACTGTCACAAGTTCAGTGTTCTTAGTATTTCTCCATTTACAACTTGTTAAAACAATACTGAATAATGTACAGTTTAAATTCCAGCTCTTTTGATATGAAAAATCCATGCTTTCAAACTGCGATTTTTATATAAAAACAATTAACCTTTCACCCCTAGTGAAAAGTCCGGAAAACGCCAGCTGGAGATCTGTGTGTATGTGTTTGCTGTTGATGTATGTATGTATGTATGTTTGTTATTATTCATAGTAATAGTAGTAGCAGTATCATATTACTATTAAATTCTTATAGTGGTTGGAATGCACCAACAATTTAGGAACCAAACTGTGATCTTCTGTCTGTATTCATCTAACCAAGATATAAATCACATTTTATAAACCTAAATTCCTATGCTTTACTGTACATACATTTGTTTGTATCAATCTAATGTCATATGATGTTTTACCAGCAAAAACAAACTTAGTGCCAAGATAAATGTTTTTTCAACCATTTTCCTGGCTGCCTAAGACTTTTGCACAGTACTGTAAATGGCCACAATTCATATTTAATTGAGGTGCACTAAATGCTGTGGTGTTTCATTTGAAGATCTGCTATAGGTTCTAAGACTGAACTCAAGTCATTTTTTACCTGTAATACTCTAGAACTGGTTGAGTCTGGTACTCGTAGGCCTTCAGCCTGCGGGTCACTGTTTCAGGTGTGTCATCATCCCTCTGGGTCAAAGGCTCTCCTGTGACATCATCAAGACCCTGCAGTGCACAAACAGAAACGCTGACAATGTTTCTTTAACACTTTGATCATTAGAGCTTAAGGCACTGGAAGCATAGCAAATCTATTAGTACTGCCAAGGTGAAGTTAATGATTACATGTCCTTCAGTCACTTTTTTGTGAGTGTTTTCCAACCCAAATTTGTAAGTGTTTTTAGCAGTAGTATTGTTAGTTACTACAGAGCATGAGCTGAATGATATACTATTTTTCTTTGCTCTAGTAACAGTCACATTTCAATGCACTACCACCGAGCATTTTAACAATCCTACACACCCTGACCCTTATCATTTCTTATCAGTACTCTCCACACCCTCACATAGCTTCAGTCCAAAATTAGCTGTCTAATTTGCAGGCTACTATAGACAGTCAGAATTTAGGTTGTGTAGGCTGATTTCAGCTCAAAATTAAGCTTTAACCACAGTATCCAGCAAAAAAAAACTATATGACTTATTCAAACTCAGCTACTCTTCCACTGCTTTTGAATGTGTGTGCTAAAGTACAAGTAGGCCTAACAGTGCTTCTACTCCAGCCCAGGTTTTTAACAGATGGTGAAACAAAGACTGCCTCCTGTGGAAAGCATGTATATCTGTAAACAAACAGAAAGGGAGAGCAGCGGTTTCTCAAAAGTTATAGCAGAAATGACCTTCGCATGAACTCTTCCACTGAGCTTTTTCTCCGCAATACAGAAACTGCACTCGTGACTGGAATGCACCGCAGTTTCACACCACAGTGGTTCCTGTACATCAGATGTAAACAACGGAAGTCCTGCAGTCTGAACAGTGGTTGTCTACAGCCTAGCAAGCTTTGAATAGCCCAGCTTCAAAATTCTGCTGTGTAGACATTTTGGTGCAATAAATGCGTACAGTGGACTTTAGAACAACAAGAGGGAAAATGAATGGTTTTACTGTAACGCGTGTGCAGTAGATTAAATACTGAATACAGTTGTTCAAAGGAGTGGTTCCCCCATGGAGCTGAGAGGCTAATATAACAGAAGTCTTTTTCTATTCATGTTTTAAGAATGTTCACCCACTTCCTTATTCACTGGCCTCTTGCATGCACAGCATATTTAAGATATACCCACAGATTTTCAATGATTGACAATGAGGGCCACTCTAAAAGCTTGCGTTTCGTATTTTATAGTGGATTTTATTGTATGTTTTGGATCATTTTAGATCCTCAGCCAGCTGCTTAGAGGAGAATGTGGTTGTTGAGTGTTAGCAAATGGTTTGAAGAGTGACAGGATTTACTGCACTCTGGAATCGTTATTAGCTGACTTCTTAACCTGCCTAACCAGTCCTTTAATTAATAATTAATTAATATAAGTAATGGGCTAATTTTGTTGAATTAAGAGTGTCCTAACATTTCCACAAGCAATGATTACCATTTTTTAAGTTAATTCATTTACATTTTTTTAAGTTAATTAAATATCTAGTATAAAAAATAACTATACATTAAGATTTGCAGATTTGTTCAAACATTTTTCTGCAGAGGTTGTGTTTTCTTCTTTTCACTTAAAAAAAAACAACAAATTCTGCAATTTGACCAGTGGTGTCCAAAGCTTTGCATACAGCTGTAAATTCTGGGTAAGGGGAAAGTTGTACATTTTATTTCTGATGAGCCATTGATTTAAAAAGTCTTTGCTGAACCATAGCAGCAGTTTCTTTAGCGAGTAGTGCTGTGAATGAAAACAAGCAATCCAAGCAGATGTTTAACCCCGGAATCTTGGCTTTTAGTTTTGTGAGGTTTCATATTTCTTAACCGCCTCCTTTTCCAAGAACAGACGGCATCAGCAAGGAAACAAGCACACCAAAATAAGTGAGCATTCAGTAGAATATCATTGCCTGTACCCACATTGAAAAAAATTCAGAATACAAAAATGCTCTGTATTCATTCCTTGATATGTTTTTAAAAGGCAGAGTTCAGATACAGTCACTTTACATGTATTATAGGACACTCTTTAAAATATCTCACCAAATTAAATTCAAAAACACACAATTCTGGGCAAAAGTCAGACCCTTGATTTATTAAATGTTCAGTCAAAAAGGCCATTAGGCACAGAGCCCAGACTCAACATCATTGAATGTCTTACTGAACTTTTAGGTGTGGAAAAAATGTCTCTGCAGATTTCTTTGAAAAACTATAAGAAAGTCTCCCAAAAGGAATGAAAGCTGTTATAAAGGTAAAGAGTGAACACACTAAATAATGAATGTTAAAATTATATTTAGTTGCTGAGACTGTGTAATTTTGTTCCACACCCCTCCTGGGGAGACGGGACTTGGACTCTCCCTGGCTCCGCCCACTCTTCGCCCCTCCCACACACGTGCAGCTCCTTTTGGACTCATTAAGACTGCTTTATATACCCCTTTGTTTCCACCATGTGCTTGCAAAGTCTCTGTGTTCTTTTCTTGTGGTGCTTTTCACTGGTTTTGTCTGATTATGGTCCTGCCTGCTTGGCCTGTATGTTGACCCCTGTCTGCTACATCAGTGAGTACCAGAATGCCCTTAATAAAGTCACTTCACACTTGCAACCTGCCTCAGCCCGTATGTTACAAATTTTATGTTAAATATTTGTTTTTGTTTTTTGCCTGACACTGAAAAGTAAATAACTTGTACTTAATGGCTGTTTTAACTAGAAATTGAATACATTGTGGGTGGTCTCTGACTTGTACAGTAATGTACAACATGAAGTGATAGTGGAGCAGTATAAAGACAACTGGTTTAAACAACCTGAGTAGTCTTTCGCATGTTTCCAGTCTATGCATCTCTGGAATTCTAGATAAATTCTATTAATAGTAAATAACAAATTCACCATCCAAAGCAAATGCTAACCAGTAATACCAGTATTGATGGATGCTAATACAATGGCTGCCCCTGTTTTTTACCATGCATTCTCAATGTTGGCTGAAAAAGTTTCTCTACTTTACTGATGATTTTTTTTTTCAAAATACATTACTGCGTACATTTAGGGCAGCATATTCATTATTCAGCCATCAGGACGTTTTCAAAGTATTTCAACCAACCCTGTGTTTACCACTCTGCTTAGCCATATATATCCATGTCTCTCAAGGTGGCCAAGAACGGCTCTGGTTTCTCCTATTTACTCAATAGAACCCTTGGGCAAGCCAAGGCCTCAGAATGACCCACTTTTAACTGCATGGACCAGACCAAAGGTCTCTCTGCTGTAAACTCCTCAGCAAACAAAAGTACTGATCTTATCTGTCTTTTATCCCTAATCTGTCATTTAGCCCAGTCTGAGGAAGAACCGTGTCCTATTTCAACTTAATGACCTCATTAGCTGTTTGTGTCTTCCTCCCAGCACTGTGAGTCTTTCCAAATAGAACTGATGATGCTGTCTTGGTGCTTTTGGGCTTTTATGCTCATTATAAAAGAGTGAGAATTAGAACTGGAACTGCAAGGCTAATGAAGCTAACAAGTAAGAAAAGCTCACAGCCACCAATGAGCATAATGCAAAATGCATGCCTAAAACATCACACACTTGCCTCAAACAAAGTATTCTCCTGCTTATGTGGTTCTGTATGACATACTTCTCTAGAGAAGTGGGCAAAGTTCTGATACATAGCTAAAATGGAGAAGCAGCAGCCATCTTGAAGCCTAAATTTACTATTGTGACAATTAGGACTAGGCCTTCAGTTCAAGCCAAAGATGCTAGCACCCCTATGGGATTCTAGTAGTATGTTAGCACTAAGCTAATGACGATTCACATGGACCGTTTGGTTGTTCTAGATTAAACACCTGCATTTGAATTGAGTGAAAGACATGTTTTTCAATGTTTTATGTGACGCTTGTAACAGACATGAATGTATATTTTACCTGGTAGTAGTTTTACAGTAACTCAGTAAAGTGTGCTGGCACAGAGCTGCCGCCACAGTTTACCATTCCTAACATCTGACTGGCTGAAACGTCAGACTGCTTTTCCTATTCAGGGGCGTATCTAAGACTTTCAGAAGGCTTAGACTAACATTTTCTCACAAAACTGGTCCCACTCATTGCAAATCAAAACCTGGTTGCTTGATTTCTGTCACTTCCTAGCCACTAGTATGTTAGTGGCTAATAGGCCTTTAGTCCAGGTCTGACCAATGAAAGAGCTGGCTTAGCTGTATCTGTCTAGACGCCATGAAGAAAAAACATTCTGACTGGACAAGTTTCCGTTGGAAGTTGTTTCCAACCAAAGCTTATTAATGAAATGAGAGTATTACTACAATACTTTTAAAGTTAAATACAGGTTTCCCCTCTGATACTTTTAGTATTTGTACAGTCTGAACACACTACATGCTGGATCAAAACCCTGTTGATAATGCATACTCACTGGTATCTTGGGTGGGTTGAAGTCTACGTTGTAGACACGACCGCTGGGCATGTGCACCCAGCGTGAAGTCAGGCGCTCCTTAATGGTCTGGAAAGGCACATCCAGGTTGATGACCGTGTCCACAGTGCACATGCTGTCCAAACTCTCTGCCTGTGCTACAGTCCGAGGGAAACCTGCCAAGAGTGTCGCAGAGAGAAAGCAAGTGAACAGGAGGGTCTCTCATGGTTACGTTGCCCCCTCTGCTTCCAACACAAACAAGTCTGGCGAGCACTCAGACTGAGCCGTTATAGAGGACAATATCTCCACTGTGGCATTCACTCTTTCACTATTCAGAGGTTCCTTCCTTTATATTACTTTCACAAAACACCACTATAATGGTGTATCAATGTGTATATATATAAAAAGATTTCAGTATCTGCTTGTAAAACTGCAGAACAGATTTAAAAATAAGTAAATCAACAACAAATATTACTTTTTTATTCTTATGGTTACAGTTATGGTTGTATAATTAATTAATTAAATGGTTAAATTGGTTAATTAATTATCAATAATTATTATTAACGATTTGAATCTACATATAAAAATACTGTTGTGTAATAATAATAATAATATTGTGTTGTCTTCATGCATATTCATATTCTTAATACTACTAATAACACACACAAAAACATTTTCTAAGCTTTCTTACGTTTATCCTTCTGGGTCGCGGGTACTAATAACACATTGAATAATAATTATAATAATAATAATAATAGTAGTAATAATAATAATTGTTTTAGTATTATTGTGTGTTTATTCTACACTTTTTACATTTCAAAAGGAACTCAATTCAAAATTATGCAGAAGCATGTTCAAGACACAGTAATGATCATGTTTTGCTGTTGAGGTTTAAACAGCAATCTCACAGCCTAGATGTAATCCTGCTTATGCACTGAGCCTTAGTTCTTTATTCTCTGAGGTGACCCACTAAAAATAGTCCAAAAATCTTCTGTAGCTTTAATACATTGCAGGAGGATTAAGCATTTCAGCTGCAGTTCACTGCTTGCCAGCAGTGTTAATTTCTGAGCCTAATAAATAAAGGACAGTGTCAGTGTAAATGCCTGGGAGTGCAACGTTTGTATGCTGAGGGCTTTATGAGTGTGTTTTACCATCTAAGAGCCAGCTGCTCTGATCCATGTCTTTAAGGTGGGACAGCATGAGGCGAGAGATGACATCATCAGGGATCAGCTGACCCTGGTCTATGCATGACTTCACCAGAAGACCCAATTCTGCACAAACCAGAAGAAAAATGATCATCAGCACAATAAATGGAAACACATGGCTCTGACAGAACGATGGCTTAAGTATGTGTGCTGTTAATGACAACTATGCAAGCAAATCTTATGCTTCTTATGCTTTTAAAATATAGTGTTCCAAATGAGCACATCAAAGTGGCAGTCGATCAGTTAGCACTGACCCCATGTGAAACCTGCCTATAAAGTAGCTCATAGTAGTCATATGCAAAATGATGTCATTGTCTAGATTGCCCAATATAACACCTAATGTAACAATGTGACACATAATAATACCCCCAGAGGTCACTGAATTCAGACATTATTGCAAAACCTATGAGAGTTGGGTTATTTGAGACTGTGCATTATTTGTGCATTTGCGTTAAAGCAGGGTTGGGGAACTCCAGTCCTGGAGGGCTGGATTCCTGCACGATTTGGTGAAATTCCTACTCAGACACACCTGATTCAACTCATCAACTAATAAGCAGGTTTAGTTTGTATGCAAAAAAAAGGAAATCACCCAATTGTGCTGGACTCTGGCCCTCAGTTCCCCACCCCTGGGTTAAAGAGCCGTTTGTCCAGTATGAGATTAAAGTGGATTTATTATTTAACAAAGCGTTGAGCTGTGTCTGCAAAACAGGAAAATCCTGGAAATGCACTGGATTCTTAGATTAAGCTCCATTAATATTACCATTATCAGTCAGGCACTCTGTCGCTTTGCTTCGGGTTTAAACAAAATGTACTCTTGATTTTATACATACACACATAATTATATATATATATATATATATATAATATAATATATATAATATATATATATATATATATATATTATTTTCTTTTCCCCAAGAGTTCTTCAAGGGTGTTCTTGTGACCTCTGGTCAGTGCAGTGTTTGGGTAAATGTACTCCAGATTTTTTCTTAGCGCATGGCACGCTTCACAAGCCTCCAAGGACATCAGGGTCCTTTCACAGGTGATTTGTGCTTTAGGGAAGTACTACCATGTCCTAGCACGTGCTATTTAACAGAAAATCCCATCAACTATGATCAAACATTAGTAGTTTTCCTTTGTTTCCTTTGTTAAAAGTCACTGTATGTCACTGTTAATCATCTAATCTTAGAGTCTACACAACATCTTCAATCACAGCTATCAGTCAGAAGGTCAACCTGTTTTAAACACAAGGGGTACAGGGGTGCAATCCAAAATAAGCCATGAGTTTTTATATGTAATGTCAATTTTTTTTTTATGTAACAGTAAATCTAGAAAATACATTTTCTTTAGGGACTATTTTGTCTCACAACACTCTGCATGTACCTCTCCATTGTGAATGTATTTTATGTTTTAGGACAAAACTTTAATGTAAAGCAACGTCTCGGGCGCCAAGTTGTGTATAACCGTTTCACGTAATCAGGTCTTTCGGTCAGGGAGCCTTTAGTGGCATTAAACCCTTCAGATGTCTGGTTCCTATCACCACCACTGTGAACAATTCTGACTTAGAAAAAGCATTTCACATCAAACCGTTTTGAATAACTTTAAATCTGACATAATAACTGTAGTATGCCTTTTTAGCCTAAATCAAAATGCACTGTTGGATTGGATGTTATATATTTCGCCAGCAAGTGAAGCTGTGCCTGTAAAACGGAGTGCAAACCTGCTACATCTACTGCTATTAGACCTGGACAAAGGTTTTTAACATCTCACCAATTTCAGATGATCAGGTCATCAGGGGCATTAAGCTGGAACTAAATAGATTTAGTGTTGAAACTAAGTTGATGGTGGTTGATCAAGTGGAGAAAAGGGTTTCAAGATCCATAAGAATAATAAAAGGTCAAAGGTCACTGATCTGTGGCTAATCAGGCGAGGTGGACAAGAAAGAAACTCCAGCTCGCTGGCCAGCGCTGCTGATGAGACGTGGTGGGTGGACTAGGAGGAGTTTAGGGGGAGGGAGCAGATTACAACAGCAGGACACTCCTACCTACTTAATGACCAATTCAAGCAATGATTTGCAGCCTAAGTTATGACTAACAGCTTTACAGTCGGCTAAAGTGCAGAGTAACTGTCCCTTACATGAATTCTGTAACCTATGCATGCAGCTTTTCCACCTTTTATGCTCCTGGGTGGAGTACATCGAGGAGGACTACAACCGACCCCCCCCCAACATAAACACACACACCAACCCCCCAAAGTAGGAGGAAAAACGAGGCAGCAGTCACGTTCTTATTCGAATTTTCCAGTTCCACCTTAAATGGTGCAGCATTCTGGCAGCTGCTGCACCATTTAAGGTGGAACGGAAAAAAATCGAGGGAGAAGCGGGCGGATAGGAAGCTGACTTGCGTGCTGCTGCTAAACTACATGCCCTGATAAAGAAGACGTTTCCTCTCTAACACACAGACTGTGTCAGAGCTCGTCTTGTCCATCTTACCCGTCTTCGCATTGATGTTGGTTCTCAGGATGTCCCCGCTGGACAGATGCTTGAGTCCAAAACTTTGCACTATCCTGCTCGACACCGTCCCTTTCCCTGAGCCCGGAGGACCCATGATAACTGCACGGAAAATTCTTTCCAAGACCATCTTGCAAGCCCTGTCTGCACGAAAACACGTCTCACAGCCGGACGATAACAACGTCAAAATCCAAACGCAGACGCAGTCGAGCAGCCCTAGTTTAGCGGTGTCCAGAGTTGTGTGGCCATCTCTGGTCAGACGGAGGAACCGACGAAGAGCTTCAGCCTGCAGGAATCCACACAGCCGTGACGTGGATTTGGAGGAGGGCGATAAACTATGGGAGTCGACTCCAAAAGAGTCGATTCTTCCTCTCTGACTCGCCTGGAAGTGTGAGTCGACTCTTGGCCAACGAGTCAGAGAGTCGAAACGCTCGGAGTTGACTGTTGAGTTGTGGGTTTTTTCATTTTCTTGGACTTTTTCGCAGAGGCGTGTCGGAAAGAGTTTGCGTTTGAGTATCACAGGCATGCCTGAACTGCTCCTCAGCCCCTGTGAGCACAACTTCCGGTCACAAAAACTTGATTTGTGGCCTCTGCACTGCACAGCTGTGCGTCCAAACTCATGCTACGAAAAACTTTTACGTAAACTTTTTCTTTGTAAGAAAAAAAACTTTGTAAGAAGCATGCAGCAGTATTAATTTATTTGTATTGTTTACTATTTATTTGTTTGTAGTTATTTGTTTACTTTTTACAAAGCTCAAAATTATGAGCTAGGGACTAATATATATCTCTGGTCAAACGGAGGTGTGTATATATATATATATATATATATATATATATATACATACACACACACACACACACACACACATATATATATATATATATATATATATATATATATATATATATATATATATACATATATATATATATATATATACACGATATAAAAACTGAGGTATTCCAAAGCTTTATTCAAACTCACCCCAAACTAAATGTGAAGGATAATAGTATTATATTATTAGTATTGATGAGTATTATAAGTATTATAATTTAAAAAACATTCCATCTGCGGAACTGAGTAAGTGTGACTGCTTCCTAACCACGTCTGGACACTGGAAGCCAGTCCTAGGCAGGAAATTTCCTTAATGTGGGTGAAAGAAAATACAACAGTAAGGTCAGTCCCACCGCACAGAGGGTTGGCGATAGCTTATTGTAGACACATGAACACAAAGGGCTCCGATTCTGCTCCATTTATTATATAATATGATTATATAACGCTTCTGATGCTTCTTGTGTATGGGTCAGTAGGCCTGATAGTTGGCAAAGTTATCTGTGTTTGAGTAATACCTGTCCGGTTTTTAAGGGGTGGCCAGAATGGCCAGTGCCATTCCTATAATCCGACTGGCCGCCCCAGATGCCACCCCAAAATTACTGCTACGTCATTGGCTTCCACCTCGGTGTGGGGTGATTTGCGCCTTTAAAGGGAGAGTAATTTTGCTATCGGTGGAATAACTCTCCAATAACTCCCCCACCCCCTCTCCTGGTCCCACGTTATCATTGTGAGTACGTCTGGTCAGTCCCGCTTTGCCATTAATGGTAGAGTTATTTTGCTATTGATGGAAAAACACTACAAACTCTCTCCACATCCCCCTTTCCTCACCCCTGATCACACATTAAAATTGCAAGAGCATCTGTAACACTGCCACCCTGTTGAAACATCCTGCCACCCTCTGCCACTCCTGGTAAAATGTTTTAAACCCACCACTGGCAGAATGGTGTGCAAATTGCTCCACAGTTGCTCACACTGTAAGGCACAGAAGGCTTTGGGCAAAAAGAAATAGCTGACTAGCTGAGAAAATGCACAGGTGTGCACAGTGAGTCATGATAAGCCAAACAAAGACCACTTAATAGCTTCAATACTTAATAGCATGAGACAACATATAGAGTGCAGCAGTGAGTCTCAAACTGTGTCCAAAACTGCACCCTATTCACTATATAGTGCACTATTTTGGGGTTCTGCCATTTTCTATCGGTATCCAAAAACAAAGTGCAGAAGATCCAGTGCACTCACACAATCCCACAATGCACTGCAATAAGTAGTGTACAACTGATATACCCTAGTGGATAGGGGATACCCACAATGCATTGTGTTGTGTGGTTTGAAGATTCGTGCACAACTTCTCTGAGTAGGATTAGCAAGCTCAGCTACAATGGCAGCGTCTCTTTAGACCTGTAAATGAGCTCTTCTTATGTGTGTGGTTATAGTGGACTGCTGTAAATATACGTAAGTATAAGTTGCACATCCTATACAGAGAACAAACTTAAAGGGTCCATATCCTACAACTTTAGAGTATTCCATTTCTGCAGTCTACTTACGATGTTTATGTGGTTTTATACACCAAAGACAGTCATAAATCATTGGACAAGTGGCCAACCTCTCTTTATCCTTTACAATCCTTTAAGATTGATATATGTAAATGCACTCTGTTCTGATTGGCTGCCTGTGTTGTGTCTCATTCAAAAAGCAGTCTGGACTGAAACATTCTTTCATTGTCAACAGGTGGGGCTAAACTGCTGCAGACTGAATAGACAGACATATGTGAGTGCAATGTTTTTTGTGACGTTACAAATTATAAATGGGCTGGGTTTTTTTTTCATTATTTGGATAGTATGAACCAGAAAGTGAATAATATATTTTGAAACTTTAATTTTGTACTTAAAAAACAGACTTCCAGACTAGAACATCCCACACTGCATATTTTCCTAGTTTACCTGTTCTAACACACCTGAGTCGAACCGTCAAGTACATACACATACTAACATAAGTGTTCCTGAACATTTGAGTCACATTTAAGTGGCATCCTACTTGGGGACTGGCTTCCCACCCCACCGATACATAAAAAAGCTAATAAATAAGCATATACAGAAAATTTATATATGAATAAAATACATGAATAATACAGAAAACAAAGTAAATAAACAATACAATTAGTACTGTGCAAAAGTCAGAGACCACCTTTCATTAACTAAGTTTCCAGTTAAAACGGCCATTAAGTATAAGTACATAAGTACAAACAGAAAACTTTGGCTTTATCAACTAAAAACAATATAATACATTTGAATACATATTTTTTTGTTTCTTGCCGATCGCGAGTCCGACACCATACTGTGTAATCTACTTACAATTAAGTTGCTGGTGGTGTAAATGAAGTGCATCAGCTAGCCATGCTATATTATTTAACGCTACCTTGTACTGAGTAGAAAAAGAGTGGGCTTTGTTTTTTTTAATGTCAGAAAAGCACTTCTGTACAGCTGTAGTTTTGCTCCTCATCTGTGTCCTTCAACAACAGTGACCGCAGAAAATGCATCTGAGGAGCTCAGTTGAGGAGTTTGTCTTCTTGGGGTCTTTTGTTTGGCAGATTGAGCTGTATCTGAATGTCCTCTAAACCAAACATACACTGTGCAATTTTAGAAATCTTGTTCTTCAGTGAGTTTGTACATTTAAACAGTCCATCATGTGCAGACAAAGCCAACAATTTCTAAATTCACACTGTACAAAATGCTCTGTTCATACTGTCTGAAATGCAGCCTATACAGTCAGCTCTGTCCATGAACAATTCCAAATAAAGCTGTTTCACTCAAAATAATATTCTGAGCTCCGAGTACTGCGCAAACACACTGAGAAACTGAGCAGCGCTGCTAACACTGTGCATTGAAGCTAAAACCAGGCGGTGATGTACACGATAGTACAATACAGTCTCCCTGCAGCCTATTTACAAGAATTCTATTCAGTCAAACAAAGTAAAGTCAGACTTTGGTAGCAGACGTTGAGTTTTTTTTCTGTCTCTGTTTCGCTGGCCTACGTGTCTCCACTCATATTGGGGAAGTGGCTGTGATTGTGTGTTTAAAACTGGCTAAAATCACACAGTGGAGGTCTGGTGGGAATCTGCCAAGACAGAATGTTTATAGTGATCGACAACTTTGTGCCCAACTGTCACAATCAGTAACTCTTCACTGTGTTCGTTCATTAGTGTGGCAGCTAAACTCAGCTTACGTCTCAAGGTATCTGGGGGTATCGGTGTGTTGGTGTCTGTGAATTCTGTGTACTGAGTAAATGATCACGGTATCGGCCCAATAGCAGTGTCAGTATCGATGCCTTCCTAATTTAGTGTGTTCACTTTTTTCCTTTATTACAGCTTCCATTCTTTTCAGGAGACTCACTTTTCATTTTTCAAAGAAATCTGCAGGCATATTTTTTCACACCTCCAAAGTTCAGTCTTAGAAGTTGGTTGCATTTTCTTTTTCTAACAATTCAAGAAATTTCAATTGCAAATTTGGACTTATCCACATCTCAGATGTCCAGTTTTGGTGCAAATTTTCTTTTTTTTATCAATTTTCTTTTCTCAGTGAGGCTTCTTGACAGTTACTCATCCTTTCAGACTGATTGCGCTGAGTTGTCTTCTCACAGTGGAAGGATGAACAGAAACACCCATGAACTTTTTCAGATCTGAAGCAGCTTGATTTTCTCCTCTCTCTCAAAGATGAAAGATTTAATTGTTAAATGTTTAACCTGCAGTTTTGGAAACTTTGTGCAAGTGTATAATTTTATATCTCCTCAGTATCTCCTGAAAAATTCGAACTTGTATTTAGTGGCTTTTTCGACTGGACATGAAATAAACGAAGGGTGGTCTGTGACTTTGCACATAACTGTACCTGTGGAGCCCCCTGGGGGTTTGGAGTCCCTAAGCAAATGCTTATACAAGGGACAGCTCTGCATACTAAGCCCCTATATTCTTATAAATAGGCAACTTGTGGTCAGCTATTATAGCTGCAACAGCCCCCCACAATAGAGTCAGGCTGCAGACATGCACTCTCAGCCAGATGCACTCTCAGCCCCAGTGACGTCATGGGCACGTGCACTCTCTGCCACAATAGCAGAAACAGCCCAAAGGCGCGGTAACTTTTGGCTGCTGCTGCTTAGCGATATCATCACGTAATCCATTTTTCATCCATAAAACGGCTAGAAAGTTACATTTAATGTACCTCCCTGCTGAAAAAATCATAGAAACCATTAAAGTGTCTGCTGGTTCCTGGTGGTTTTCAGTAGTCGCTAATGGTATTCTGTGTTTTCCTGATGGGTTGATAGCACGGTGTAAAGGATTCTGGTCGTTTAATCAGGTGTTTTGGGACTGATTCCAGATAAATATGATCGTTTCCTAATGGCCTCTAACAGCAGCCATCAAGCCAATTCCCGTTAGGAAGCAAAACCAACGGTCATGCAAACACAGGT